TCTTAGCCCTAAATAATATCTGGTGAAAGCACAGCCATTAAAAGCGGAAAATGGGAGAAATAAGATACTGGTTGGCTTTTAATTCCACAGTTTGGAGGTCTTTTGAAGCGGGATTTCTGAGATGGACAAAAAAGGAGTAGTGCTTTGTCTTGAGTGCAAAAACGGATAGCTAATTCACCTTCGAAACAAAGTTAACCATGTTGGAATTTGACCATTTCACTTAGGTAGCCTAGTATCTTGAATTCTCAGAATTCGCTCACACTTTGTCTACAGGGTTTGACATGCTAATTATGGATAGGATACGAATATCATGTTATCACTATTATCAGATTACATAACTACAACCCCCTCCCCTTTTGACTCCTCATTACGACCCCCCAGGTGTGGCGTGCTGCACACGCTTGACCCTGCTCCCAACTTCAAGCGTTGGGGCCAGCGAGCCATCGTGGGTCGTTTGGTGACTGTCCCATCATCCGCTGCACCAGTACTCATATGTTTTACTGCGCAGATGCGTTCAAAATTCATAATTTGTCGAAGTGATTAAGTTTGCATTTCAGCAAACATAAATGTTAAGTTTGTAAAGCTATATGTATATAAAACTCAAAATTGCGAGTTTGGAGGCTATGTACGTTATGGAAACGCGCGTCGCTCAACCGATTCAGCTGAAACTTTGCACACATATGTTTTCGACCCCTGCGCAGAATGATAGGCTACTTTTTGCGGCAATTCGTTGGGTCCTTCTATGGATATTGATTTGTCTACGTTTTCCTAATGAGTTGAAGGCTTATCATGTTCAATTAAGCATTTTCCCATAATCATGAAAGGAAGGCGGTGAAGCTCATTTTTGCCTCAAAATCACGAGGATGCGATTTGAAGCGAATGTAGGGTAAGTCATTCATAACATATAGGGGGATGGAGGGGGCTTGCAGTGCAGGTGAACGGAACAATGCCCGGGCTGGACCGGAAAAGCCAACTAGCAACCTTATATAGGCACTAGCCTTCCACTTCTGCCTCACCAATTATGTATATGCCCTCCTCGTGCCCGTAGTGATGACTTTGAAACTCACCGCGCAATGCTGTCCGTCGCGAATGAGATGTAAACAACTACCTATTCCAAAAGCTTTCCCATATAATGGTAGCTTTGGGAGAAACAAATTTCTACGAAAGGTTAAGTGTAAACTTAAAGCAGTTACTAAGTCAGATATGGCTTGATAATCGGCGTAAAGGACCATGAACATCATGAACTACACGTCTGAGTAAAAACTTCCAGGTAGAACCTTGACATTCACGAATAACGCAATCATTTCTTTTTGGTGCCGTTTTCGCAAACATAAACTTTTTAATCATTTTTCGGGTGAAGTCCACTGCTTGCAGGTTCGTTCTCCAAAAAATTCAATGCTTTCAAAAATTCCAATCAGGTCTCAATTGTGAAGACCAGTAATCACTTGGACCCGTTTGGTGCGCAATTTCTGAGGGGTATGCTTATCAGACCCCTCGTCCTTGAGCATAGTGGACCTACATGGTGATAACCAGGGTTGAGCAAGAGGTCGGGCACAAGTCCTTTGAAAACGACCCCTCCCCCTTAAGAAAACCCCAAACGACCTCCTTCTTCCTCCTTTTCACCTCCGGAACCTCTACGAGCGACACTCTGAAGGAAACCATCCTAAAGAGTTTTTAATTTTTGTCTGTACGCCCGATTTTCTGTGATTGCACTTTACAGTCACACGTGATGACGGTTGATTTTGATCTGAATGGGTTTATCGCAAGGATCATAATTTCTTCAAGGCTGAGGTGTTTGGCTCCAAATTTTCACTGTAGCAAGATGAAGCTATGGGCTCAATATTCATAGCAGGAATGGAGCGATTCTGGATTTTGAAGGCAAGTAAAGAGGGTCAGGCGCAAGGCTACGAAAGCTCAGGCCGCCTGAGCTTTCGAGGGGTTGCGCCTGACCCGGTTAACTTTATCACCGAAGAATCTTTTCTACCCTAGTTTTATGTGGTTCGCTAGAACAAACCTCAAAGACTCTACATTAGGTGTTAAGGCTTACTTGGCCTTGTTCCGGCTTTGTGGTGATCGGTGGATTAGGAGCACTTAAGATGGAAAACGCGATGATCGAAATTGGCAGCGCTTTTTGGTCCACTTTGAGAAAGCCATAAGGGATCCAATTTCTAACTTAGACTGACTAAAAGCACTACTTCGTTTTGAGCACAAGAAAGCAGACTTCTTTTACTTTTGTAACCAAGTTAATCATGCTTGAAAATAACGCTGCCTAGACGTTAGGAAACACTAGATAACGTGACAAGTGGTGGTTTGGTGAGCTCGTATAGGTAACTTGGCCTGCTGATTACGGAAATCTTACCCACTTCACACGCCAAGTCTCTTTGATGACCGTTGACAGTTACCGTTGGCAGAAACTGCGTTAGTGGAGTTAAGATGCAATTAACGACATTCCCTCTCCGGTGAGATTATATTCACTGGTCTCGCTCTCTTTTTCTTCACCTCACTCAATCGCAGCATCCCCTCCATTATGTGAACAAGTCTTGATTACGATCCCCTCCCCTCTTACCCCCAATACGACACCCCAGGTCGGGCGCGCCTGACCCCAAGCTCAACCCTGGTGATAACGTATGCTAAGCAAAATTGTGGCTCAAGACGTCGGCTGTAACTCGTTCTATGTATTTCGTGACAGACACATACACACAGACAGGCAAACACGCAGACGGCTTTAGCGCTTTATTTTCAAGTAATTCTCTGAAAAAAAAACCAATGTATGTCAACGCATATCATCTATCAACACTTATCATGAGCTCCTTATTAAGAATTTTTTAGTATGAAAGTAATGCAAGCGCAACTTTTCGGATCGCTGCAATAATCTATTAGTGGCAAGTTATTACTGCATCTGTTCATTCCATCATTCTGATGTGTATAGGCTTGACATCACGGCTCCGATGCGAGTGTTCTTTTTTCGAAGTGAAAGTTGAGCTTTCTTTCATGCTTGAAGGAAAATGACTACAAACATGGCTCCGTGTAGCGAAGATATGAAAATTTGTTTTTTTTATTTCCTAACAAGCTCATTGTCGATGATGTTCATTAGTATACTAAAACTTACGTATTAAAAACGGAAGAACGAAACCTTCGTTACACTTTGGTAAATCGGGCTGCCAATAGTACTACCCGACAATTTATCTAGATTGGCAGCTGGAAGGCGGGGCTTCGTGATCTAGTCAAGGTTAGAGAATGGTCATGGAGCACCTGCGCGAGAAAGACGCAGACACGTCACGGGCGCCAGCGACCTTAATCAGGTCACAAAGTCCCGCCTTCCAGCCGCCAACCCATATATCAAAGGTTACATAGATTCTAGGTAGAATGTAGGCATAAAACTACAAAAACACCTGGCTAAGAAAAAAGACACTAACGGAGCCGTTGAAAAAACATAAAACAGCGCCTAAAAAAACGGTTTTAATAGAATGCATTACTTCTCTACTTTCTGCACTGAGACAGAATGTAGTATCCAGGCGAAGGAAGTATACTAACAATAAGTAGAGGGTTTTGAGGAAACAAAACAATAATCACTAACACTAAATGGACATTCGTTGATGATGATTCTGTGCCCTTGCTTTAACGATATTACGTCGCACATAAAATCTTTGACTCACTAGGTGTCATTCAGTGACGTCCGTCCACACCTAACGTGCGCAGCAGCTACGTGGTCACATTGACTTGAATTATTTCGAAGCTTTTCTCTCATAGTGCTTTCTCAGATGAGGTACAAAGGCAGCTTCGTGCAGCATATCTGTCAGATCACATGCATATCCACGTTTAGACTTCAAAAAGTCAAACACAGATTTAGGTCCAATAAAGCACAGTTCTTCTGACACAGCATGAAGTTGTCAGCCAGTAATATATGTATCCTTTACTGATGCTTGTGATCCATTCGTAGCCATCTATAAAACTTTCCAAATTCAAAATTTCTTCTTTATCTTGGCTTGAAATCGTCGAATCTCATGGATCGAATGCACGTGTCCAACCATGAAGCTGCACGTTTGTCTAAGCTGGCTTTTTCTACTGAAAACTTTTTTCCCAACGCAGTTTCGAGACACAGCATCGCTTATTCACTTGCAATAAACTCCGCCCCTGACCGGCTTCAATACTTCAGTAGTTCCTATCCGAGTCAAGCGGCTAATCACGTAGCTTTATTTAGGAGAATTTCACGTGAAAGTGCCATAAATCTATATTACAGCTTGTACTACTACTCTACTACCAACGAAGCAGCATCACTTTCTTCTCACACTAATTGAGGGTAGCTATTTGCTCCCCTTTCAAAAATAACTGATATGCAACTCGTACTCATGCTGATTTCTCATTATAGTTCCTCTTACAAGGAATGCGTGTTTAGTCGAAGTGGCCTTTCTAGATGGGTCATATACCATATTAAAGGGCACAAATTGCTGATTCCAAATATGCCCTCTCTATCTGCAGAGCGTTTATGGACGAGGAGTTATGAGCACTTATTGAGGCAAAAAATTGAATGTGCAAGTAGGACAAAAATAGCCATAATATTTTTTGTAGCTCTTTAATGGAGCCGCTATAATCATCAGAGCACTTTATTTGAAAATACTCTCAAATAAAAAAATATATCAAACTTGGTGGCATTATTTGAGGGCTGATAAGATTTTAGCAACTCATTTTTTCCAAAATGCACGTTCAATTTTTGGCTTCAAAAACGCTCATAACTTCCTATGCATAAACGCTCTGCAGATAGAGAAGGCAGATTCGTAGTCAGCGTTTTATGTCCTCTAATATGGTACAAGTTTCATTCAGAAAGGCCACTTCGACTAAACAAGCTTCCCTTGTTAGTCAAAGAAACCCATCGGCTTCCTTACAGATTTCGCAATGCGATTTTCTCTTTTCTCTTTTCTCAAAGTCCTCATCACTGTCTTGAAGGAAAATTCAGTGTGTACCGACGTTTAGACGTTGAAGCAATGTAGCTAGAGTTTCAGATGTGCACAACTTTCATCACTGCCCTGCTTCTTTCGTCACCTGCACTTACATCAATGGTAAGGTAGCTCTTCAAGCAAATTCCAAATCACTCACTCAGAGCGTAATGCCAAATATGCACGGTAAAATAATTTGAAATACTGGTAAATGTTTACTTACCGAAGAAAGTGAAGAATTTATTCTAGTAGTGGTAACTTCATGTCAGTGGCGGTCCCAGGATTTCGGACCGGGGGGGGGCGCGGAAAAATTTTTTTTTCAAATGAAGGTGCGTGGCATTAACCACGCACTCCGAAAAAAATTTTAGGAGTACTTCTCAAAATTTTTGCGGGTCCCCCCCCCCCCTCCCCGAAAAAATTTTTTTATAAGGCTAATTAGAATTTTTAAAAAATTTTACAAATTTTATTATGTACAATAATAAACAAGTCGTTTGCACTTTTCTATAATCCATATAGGTAAGTTTCAAAAATTTCGCGACCCGTTCTCGGGGGGGGGGGCGCCCCCCCCCCCGTTCCCCCCCCCCCCTGCTCGGACCCCACTGCTTCACGTATACAGTAAACGCTGAGCACATATGGGTCGCCCGCTGCACATCCGCGGACACACCCCAACCCATTATTTATGCCTAGCACGCGAAGATACATACAGGGCTCCTCAATTACAGAGTCACTTACACCATCAGCTCCCGCCCCACACGGCCGCATCGCCTAAACCCTGCGCAGCGTCTGCGATGCGTGACCGGGCATTTTGAGTTTCGATCGTGGCGCCGGCGCTGGCATTATATTTTCTCGGCCGTTTCGTCTCTTTTCTTCGTTCTTTCGCTCACTTTGCCCTCAGCCAGCCTCATGATAATTTTGCGATGTCATCTCATGCCGACAATCTGCGTCACAGTTCTTTTGTGCACCTAGCTGATGTTCTAGGATTTTGGCTTGGCAGAGGTGGGACTTTCTCGTTCACTTTATCTCGCTTCTTCGTTTTTTCGCGCTGCGGTCCCTCATAACAGACAAACACACAGCTTTTACATTTGCATGGCGAGAAGAACAGGAGCTAGGAACCCTACAAATACGATAGGTCTAGAAAAAAACTGTTGCGCTGAATTTCGACATATTTCTTCATCGTAGAACTAGGATAAAACTTTCCGAGGCACAGCATGAGAAAATCCTCTGAAACATCAGCTAGGTGCACAAAAGAACTGTGACGCTGACTGCCGGCATGAGATGACATCGAAAATTATCATGAGGCTAGTTGAGCGCAAATTGAGCGAAAGAAAGAAGAAAAGAGACTTAAGGGCCGAGAAAATGCAAGGCCAGCGCCAGCGCCATCGATCGAAACCTGGCAAAATGTACGGGTTACGCATCGCAGACCCGGCGCAGGGTTTGGCGATGCGGCCGTGCGGAACGGAAGCTGCTGGTGTAAGCGACTCTGTAATTGAGGAGCCCTCTATTAATAAAAAATTTAACTACCAATAACATGGAAGAAACAAGGAGATATCATTGTTACCAAGCAAGACCCAAGCTGCACCACTCCAATAACACTGCTGCGTTACTTCATGCATGTACTGTCCCGAGGTTTCGCTGTAAACATTCACCGCGCCTCCAAAAACGGTGGCAACTTCTCCGCTCTTAATGCCTTTCCTTCTATGGCTTCTTATCCCATTCAATCTCAAAGGTAGCTCGGCACAAATTTATATTCAAAGATCGATCGTTTTTCGCTCAGCACTCAACCCAAAAGTAACTGTGGTTATTCAATCAAGCCCATTTAGAGAGTACAAGAAAAAGTTGATTGAAACGAACGAGAACTAAGAGCCGGCGTTACCTATAGCCTTTCGGCTGCAAATGACCAAAGAATGGGAAGTCCTGTGGCGATTGCGATGATTTGCCTGATTTTCGCTAAGTAAAACACGGCAACCTCTGCTATCGGCTTCTTATTTTGAGGAGTGCTTGTTGAAAGCCGCAACACTATTCCGCAAATGGGTAACAGTAGGTTTGACGAAGGGCAGCTCCAAAAAAAATTTGAGTCTCTCCTCTCCACCTCAGGTCTTACACTCGCTGCTACCGCTAACACAACAGTAGGAGGGTTTTAGCAGGTATAGACTCCTCGAGGGGTTTTGCCTCAGTATGCAATATAACACTGTGAAATAGACAACAAGAATGGTGGTTCAGTGGTTTATTGGGATTACTGTAACCGAGAGCGTGAGATTGTGACCTTGGGTGGTCAACGTATGATCAAGAGCGAGGTGAAACCTCCCAGGTAGACGCATGGCAGACATGGCCCACCCACTCGGCTATAATGTCATATGACACGGGTATCAGAAATCATCGATCGGTAGATGATAAAGGGGGTACAATTTTTTGAAAGGCACCATACTCATGAATTTAGATCTCAGCGATTTGTGTAGATATGGCTTCAAGATCCGAAATCCGCACAATATCTGCAGTCGAGCGTGCTCAACTTTTAGCCGAATTCAAGCACCAACGTCGTGAGATGGGACCACGGCGATTTACAAGAGCTGTAGCTTCTTCAAAACTATGTTCAATAATTAGGCGGTGAGTTTTTCAAACCTCGTCTAGTATCCATAAGTTAGCATCATTTTCCCAGAATGGATGAAGCGTTGACGCAACCTATGCCCTACTGGGATGCACGCTGGGATTTGCGGTTACCACGACCAGCTGATTCTGCTATATTCAGCGAGGATTTCTTTCCGAAGTCAAGAAAGCGTCGGACAAGGGAAAAATTTGCTCGAGAGAGGTAAGTTCCAGTTGGCGTTATGAGGAGAGTTGGGAGATTAATGCGGCTTGCATATGCCTTTTACTGCTATTTATAGTAAATTTATGAACGCTGTCGATACTCAAAAATCACAGTAGACCGCCTCCCCCCTCCTCCTTGAACTGGCAAACACTTTTCGTATAGACAGTAAGAAAAAACCCAATAAATATTCATGCACATGCTATGCACGCTTTGTCCGAAGTACTCATGGTGCAAAGTGGTTGAAGCATCCTTCTTTACTGCGTAGTTTGCGTGCTTTGCATGCTTTATTCAGCCCATTGTGCCTATTGCTCTTTTTCGACATTTCCTCTGTCTTTTTTATGTCTACTAGAGATTTCAGAAGTAAATGGACGTCTTTGATAACCATATGAAAGAGACAGTGGATGACAAAAATTATCTCATCAAAAGCATTCCATTTTTTTGAGCCAATATAAAGTACTATCTTTTTTGTCGCCACCAAATGAAGGCCAAATGAATGTAGATCTTGCTGCTGCTGCGATGTAGGTCTTGGTGTTTTAACAAAGTTTTATGCGGCTCTGTACGGAGAGCTGAAAAGAGAATACTTTGAAAGCACTAAAACCAAAATACATTGCAAGTGTATACAGTATGATATTTACGCACGGGTGTTGAGCTGAGAACTAGAACGGATATGTGACTATCTCAGTTCTGCCAAGTACATAAAACTTTCATTAGCACATTCGAGGTGCAACTATCTAATATTGGAAGTATACAAAGAGAAAAGAATGGGCTCAGCAGAGTGGCATTTCACATAGTGGATTTATGGAGAAAGCAAAAAAAGATTCTCAAGTTTTCCAACCGTGAGTTTTAAAATCTAATGAAATATTAGCAAGCACAACCTAACTCTTAGTGCCGCTGTATTGCTATCTCCGGGGAGGGTATCGCAGCTTAGAAGGAAGTTTCATATCTAAAGCTCCAAATATCTGGATTTCATGCTGTCCACCTATTCTGTAAGTATTCTATTCTTTACCATAAACGTATTGAACAGAAGCAAAGTTGTAGCTGTTTCAGCTTTTTGTATGACCCTGATGTTCCACGGCAGCCGACCGTCTTTTCTGTAAATTTACTCTTCTTCCTTCAAAATCAATTGGAACGTGCCCGAAACTTCACTGATCATCTAACTGAACAGTGCTAAGCATTCTTTGATAAGAACAAGTTGATGTATTGAAGTTATGACATTTGGATGAGCCACAAGTCGAAAGTCGAAAGTTGGGATTTTTCGAAACTTGAAGTGTATCAAGAACTCAATTTTCTTATCATAAACATGCTTAGCACGGTTGGGTTAAATAATCAGTACAACTTTGGAGCATTTTCGTTAACCAAGAAAAAAGAACGACTTCAGATAAAAGATGTTGGTTGCCGGAGATCATTAGAGGATTAATACAAAAAGCTGGAAAGCGGCTTTACAGCTTCTCGCTCCTGTTCAGTATGATTGTAGCCAAGGATAGTAGAAATGCTTACGGATAGGTAGACAGCGTGAAATCAAGACATTTGAAGCTTTAGAATATGAAGCTTTCTTTTAAGCTGCAATCCCCTCCCCGGCGAGGATATCAATGCATGTGGCACTTAGTAAGCACGAATTTATTGCTTTAGCGTCATTTCACCCGTAACAGGTAAACACGTTACGAATACGATTTGTGCATTAAGTTTGTGCACACGATTTTAAAGTATTAATACATAACCTTTATGAACAAAACTTTCAGGACAACCTAATACTATTGTATGCAATGCGGTACCTAGACTATACCCACACTGATGGTAAATATGTGAATCATATTCTCAAAAGCACTTCCAGGTTCTTTTCCTTCCTTACTTCCCGAATAATCGCAATCAGCTGAACAGGGGGAGGGGTAGGCAACCGTTCCTCATGGTTGATTGATAGCGATGTAATGCATGAAAATGAGGCTGCATGAGTATTTCCCTGCAATTACAGTAGCTAAGATACTGAGTAAATCGTTTATGGCTCGGTTTTGCAAACAATTCATTGAAGCCATACGAGCCTTCAAAATAATCAGATGAAAGATGATGATCGCGATGAACATTCAATCCAAAAAGGTCCTTGGTAGCTGCTGTCCGACACCATTATTTCTAAGCAGGTCTTTGTATTCAAAAATGATCATCGGAGCACGCAGTTATGACTGACCAGCCTGCTTTCATTGGGAGGAGAAGTGAGGGAGCAATGGATATTTGGAGTCCTCACCGAAATAGTGATCGGAAGGTTTATAACAGAGGTCGATCAGAGGTATATATTGGAAAACACGCCCATCTGTCATCAAATCATCAATTCTATACGAGAGGCGGATAAAAAGTAGAAGGAATGTTGGCGATTTTGTATCCGAAAAGTAAAGTAAGCAAGGTAAACGACTGCATGCAACTTGACTGAACTGATCACCCATGTCTTAATTCCGTTCGTACGCTTTCTATTCTCCCCCCCCCCCCTCCCCTCCCCTTCCGCATTTATTAGATCAAAAAGGGAAGGGTCCCGAGAGGTTTAAAGTTGTCTACATCTTTTGTCAGTACACTTATATCGGCGGGACTGCTGCTCCAGTTAATCTCCTCCATACCTCGGCTTGCAGCTTGATACTCCTCTATCTCAAACGTTGGCCTTCCTCTCGGACTCTTTCCGGGTTCCTCCACAGACATTGATAATCCAGCGAAATGATCCCCGGTTATCTTATAATAAGCTCGTACCGAGTTGCTCCTCTTCTATCTTTTTGACGATAGAGTCGACTTTCATTGTAGCTCGTATGATGGTGTTGATGGCATGGTCCATCCTAGTGACTCTTGCCGTCCATGTTAGCACGCTTGTCTCCATTACATCAATCCTTCGATCGCCTCGCCTACATGACCAACATCGCTACCATATAGAGTACTCGAGCAGACTACACTGCGGTACCACTGCTTTTTAACTTGATTAACATCCGTTTAACGTACCGAGTTCCCGCGACGCTTCTTTATTTCGATAAAGCTGCATTCTCCTTGCTGGGTTGTCTCGTTCTGGACCGTACTATCTGGAGCATTTTCTAGACACCTAAACGTCGTAGTCGCCTCGATTGGGGCACTTCCGATTAGTGTAGTTACAGGCATTTGTGATCCCAGCCCCATGTACTCGGTAATGTACTTCGCGATATTAATCTTCAGCCGTGTAGCTCAAGTTCACTTTTCCAGTGCGTCTGTACTTAAATCCTTCCTACTTTTTGCCATCTTCAGATACGTGATTAAGGTCCATAAAGTTGACGTATAAAGATTTTAATTATCGTACTCACGATCGTTTCGAAGAGAAGGACCGGCAATGGAACATTCAGACCTCTATCTCGAACTCTTTTGACCGTCCTGCTGCTGTCTACACGTAGCTTTGGCATTATATATCATCAGCATCCACTGCACGTATTTTTCAAGACTATGCATATACGTAGTGACCACCATATGAAATCATGCGACTTTCTCCAATTCGGTAACGTATTGCTTTCTCCTAATTCTTTCCCAGTATACTTGCAGAACGAACAGCATCTGTTGTGCTGCAACTCTTTCACGCTTCTTCACTGGTTAGAAATTAGCTTCAAAATGCTTCGCATTGCGTTTTTGAAATTTTTCGAAGATCTATTCGTTCATTCGAGAGTTTTAGAAGACAGTTATTTGAATATTCGAATATGCCAAATCAAAAGACAGTTATTCAAATATTCGAATATTAAAGATCATTCGAATATTCGATGTCAAAAGAAAACTTGAGCTGTTTCACATTGAGGTATGTCCCCGACTGGTCCATCATACAAATGAATGATCATGTGAGAGATTGGCTAGCAAGATTCTCTTTTTGAGGCAATCGCGAATCATGCCAGAGCATAGTGATGACTATCTTATGCATAATTCATTGGAATGGTGGATGTTTTGGAAATCGCGTCTGCAGTGATTAAGATGCGATATCATGCGCAAATACCTCCAAGCTAATTGAGTGAAGAAGCAAAGCCGTCATTAGGCGCACTTTAGCGGTCCACTGGTCCTCAAACAGCTTACATAAGCATGTGAAACCAGCAGTCTTTTAAGGCAGCACGTATTGGGAACATCCATCCCTTCATTAGAGATCTCCACTTGTCTTGCCAGCCTAATCACCGCCCGCATATCAAAATACCTGAAAGATACGTTAACCAGCGCAAAGCCAGAGCAAGGCGGTCGCGAGGACCTGAGCCGCTTGACTAGTGGCGGTAGCCTATATACCAGTCACCATATTCAAATCGGCTGCCTTTATAGTCACGAGGCGTAAAAAACTAGTGTTAAAATGTTGCAAAGCTTATAGAGGAATAACACTTTAAGTAGGCGTATAGGTTGAACAATAATTATTTTGAACCTGAGTAAGGCAGGCGCTATACTCCTCGAAGAGTATAGCATGGCGATGATCGATATGCATCAAATACGTGTAAAACCGGCGATTTTTGTCCTCGATATTTGCGTCACCAGTGTTGGCGACTACACGTTTGATAAGTACTGATTAGCGACTGGCGATCGCCAATGCTGGCGACTACACGTTTGATACGTATCGATTAGCGACTGGCGATCGCCGATCGCCAAACAAGTTACCACACATCAAATCGATACGTATGAAACGTGTAGTCGCTAATATTGGCGATCGCCAGTCGCCAGTATTGGCGACTACACATTAAATGTGTATCGATTGACGTGTGGTAACTTGTTTGGCGATTGGCGATCGCAAGTCGCTAATCGATACGCATCAAACGTGTAGTCGCCGATATTGGCGATCGCTCGTCGCCATGCTATACTCCTCGAGGAGTATAGAGCCTGCCTAAAAGATGTGGAAGATACCTGAGATGTAGAAGACAACAAGAGTACAAACCTCATAAATACAGCTGAAACAACTTTGTGAAAATTCAATCTCACAACAGAAAGTGTGAACTCAGCAACTGATAATTTCCGACAAGTATTACATTAGCAGCTAATATACAATTACTTCCATGACTTTTCTTTTTCTGGATTAGTGAACCAGTAATCTCAAAGATGCTAGAGCTGCAGGCGCTCGTCTCGGGACGCTCGGTCTCCTGCTATCTGATGTGCAACTTACGATTCTTTATATTTTTGATCAGATGCGCACAAAAGTACTATGTAGACAACACTGCGCCATCTCTGCTGCAGAGGTTCCTGATTCTATTACTGTAGGCCTTTCACGTGCTCTCCCAGTGCTAGTCTTAGAAGTCACGCAAGGTGAAGATCACGAACAAAACAACTACCTAGCAAAAGGTTCTCCATGTTGAATCTGTAATTTTGGGGAAAATTCTGTGTAGCTTCGGGAAAAACTTCTCTAAGAAGAATAAATGCGGACTTGAAATGGTTGCGAAATAAGGCTTATTAGCCGTCTTAAAGAACAATAAACACCTTGAACTACATGTTTGAGTAAAATTTTTCTGCTTTCTAGGCAAAACCCTGACCAAGCGGCAATAACCCAGTCATCCCTCCCACTTGCTACGCATATGATTATCAGCTACAACTCTAGATCAAACATAGTGATTAATTTTCCCTGCAGAAAACTACAACAAAAAAAACAGCAATGTTCGAGCCACTAGATTATTCGAATAGTAGAATAGTCGGACAGGTATGATTATGATTACTCGAATATTCGAATAGTCGAATATTCGACTAACCCCATTTATTCGAATACTTGTTCATTCGAATTTTGAATATAGCGTTATTCAAATATTCGGTCTCGATAATCTGAAAATCAAGATCGAATAATATTCGTTCGTTCAAATATTTTTCAGCAGACGATTATTCGATTTTCGTTCTTTCGACGAAATTTTTCGGTCGTTTTAACTTAATATCTACAACCCAAAGTAAATTCAAGAAGATTAATAGGAATAAATCCAACATTATCATTGAAGGGACTACCGACCTAGAAGCGAAAAGAATGTGACTTCCTGCAACGAAATTGTTGGACTCTCAACGCCATTTATGGACGATTTAACAAACCAAATCGTATTTTCAGTGTTCCTCGTGGTCTAAACTCGCATTTTCGTCAGTTGGGAGTCAACACTTTACTAACTGAGGCTATTCGATCTAGTCGCGCAGCACAGCTAATGATCATACTTTATCAACTTGGAACGTGGAAAGCAACTGAAGGTAGGTGGCGGAGAAAAGGTAGGATTTGAGCAGAATAGAAAATCAACATTTGATTACACCACTGTAAGAGACACTAAGGGCCGCATGCATTAACATCTCCGCCGCGGAGAGAATCGCAGCTTACAAAGAAAGCTTCAGTCCTGAAGCTCGACTCCTGGATTTCATGCTGTCTACCCATCCGTAAGTATTCCTACCATCCTTCACTATGAACATATTGAACAGGAGTGAGAGGCTGTGAAGCCGCATTTTCCAGCATTTTGTATGATCCCTCGATGATCCCTGGCGGCCGACTGTCTTTTCTTCAAAGTCATTTTTCTTCCTTCAAAGTCAACGAAAACCTTTCAAAGTTGTACTGTTCATCTAGCCCAACAGTGCTTAGCATGTTGTTGATAAGAACAAATGAGTAGTTGAAAAATCGAATTTTTTTCTTGTAAACCTCAACATTCGACTCGTGATTCATCGCAAATTTCATGACTCCAATACATCATTTGTTCTTATCAGCAAACTAGCTGGCTTACCCGGCTCCGCCGTATCCGGACCAAACTTGGCACACATACACTTCGGGCCCGGCGGGTGTCATAGTCCACTTTTCGTTATCGACCGATGTCGATTTTACCGATTTTTATCGATTTTTTTGCAGAGTTCACCTACAGGGCTAGGAGTTGGCACAGGGGGAAGTGAGCATGGGGATTCCGAATACAATATTAGTTTTCAGAATTATCGATTACTTTTATTGATTTTATCGATTTTTTGTAAATTTTGACATGCGAGGCTGGGATTTTGCACAGGGGGGTAATCGAGCATGCTGATTACGAACACAATATTAGTTTTCAGGATCGTCCATTACTTTTATCGATTTTATCGATTTTTTTGTAAAGTTTGACCTGCGGGGCTGGGAGTTTGCACAGGGGGGTAATCGAGCATGCAGATTACGAATACAATATTAGTTTTCAAGATCGTCCATTACTTTTATCGATTTTATCGATTTTTTGAAAATTTGAGCTAGGGGGCTGGAATTTGGCACAGGGGGTAATCGAGCATGCTGATCACCCCCTTGGGGATGATCAGCATGCTCGATTACCCCCCTGTGCCAACTCCCAGCCCCTTAGCTCAAACTTTGCAAAAAAATCGATAAAATCGATAAAAGTAATCGATAATCCTGAAAACCAATATTGTATTCGGAATCCCCATGCTCGATTACCCCCCTGTGCGAACTCCCAGCCCCGTAGCTCAAACTTTGCAAAAAATCGATAAAATCAATAAAAGTAATCGATAATCCTGAAAACCAATATTGTATTCGGAATCCCCATGCTCGATTACCCCCCTGTGCCAACTCCCAGCCCCGTAGCTCAAACTTTGCAAAAAAATCGATAAAATCAATAAAAGTAATCGATAATCCTGAAAACCAATATTGTATTCGGAATCCCCATGCTCGATTACCCCCCTGTGCCAACTCCCAGCCCCATAGGTGAACTCAGCAAAAAAATCGATAAAAATCGATAAAATCGATATCGATCGATGACGAAAAGTAGCCTATGACACCCGCCGGGGCCCGTAGTGTATGTGTGCCAAGTTTGGTCCGGATCGGTTCAGAAATGGAATTTTCTATTCGGAACATACGTACACACAGACAGACAGACAGACAGACAGACAGACAGACATACATACAGACAAACAGACATTCAGCTTTATATATAAGATGCTTAGTACTGTTGGGTTAGATGAACTGTACAACTTTGCAATGTTTTTGCTAACTTTGAAGAAAGAAAAATGACTTTGAAGAAAAGACGGTCGGCCCGTCAGCGGATCATACAAAATGCTAGGAAATGCGGCTTGTGCAGCTTCTCGCTCCTGTTCAATATGTTCATAGTGAAGGATGGTAGAAATGCTTACGGATGGGTGGACAGCGGGAAATTCAGAAGCTCGGAGCTTCGATTTATGAAGCTTTCTTTGTAAGCTGCGATCGCCTCCCCGCAGGGGTGTTAATGCATGCGGCCCTAAGAAAAAGTATCTGATGCCTTGGCCATTCGTAATGCGTGGTTGTGTTATATTTCAAGACCATAAGGTCTAGCCAATGAGCGGCGCTGATATGCCTATGAGTCGCGCCGTGCGAGGACATTTGCAGCAGCGACTATTGATCATGTAGCAAAGGCGAACGCACGGGCGCGGCGCACAACTGTGGCAGGGTGGGGGAACGAAAGCCGCCAGGTCCAGCCGCCTTTCGCGGCCAGCTGGTCCTTTCGCAGCGTTGTTGCATGTCGTTCCAGGACCAGCAGTCCGCGGAGGCGGCTGGGCCTGGCGGCTTTCGTTCCCCCACCCACTGTGGCATCATTTGTACAGCTTAATATCAGTAACTTATGCATATTATGCTGATTTTGTTTTCAGAAGACTGTTCTTCCTGCCCTCGACAGTCACGCTTGGCGTTTTGTGATCAAAACCGAAAACAATGTGTGGCTCGCGTCATGAGAACAGGGAACTGCTCCGGCTTCATCGACGATAACCCATGCTATGCCTCCAGATGTGTGAGGGGCGTTTGTGTTCCACTTTTGAAGCCAACCATTAGGACTGAGGGCCATCCAAGGAGGAAAATCGCTGAACGAGCTGCTCCTTTGATTGACACCACCACAACGGAAACAGTTACTTCTACGCCAGATCCTATAGAGGCATTACTGGAAATTGCGAACGAGGAACAGTTGTCCGATGACTACAACTTAACATTGCCGCATAACTTCACTTATGCCGACAAATCTATGACTTCCCAACTATCAAATAAATGTATTAGCCTCAACGGCACTGTACCCGAAAAGGAGCAACCCTCGACAACCCAATCTACTCGCACTACCATGAATGTCACAACCAAAGCAACAACCACAGTGATCTCCTTTACCAATCCACTCTTTGACAACCCACACTTTGATCGTAGGCTCCGAACATGGGTCTATGGATTTGATGACTTCTTACCGTATCCCTCAGTATACTTCCCAGTGACAGTTGTCCATGGCGACTATAAGCCACACTCGCTTCCATCATACAGTCTTGGCAACGTCATGGTATACAGTCAAGGTGAAAACCTACCAAATGGGTACACGCATATAGTAGAGGTAGGCTTTTCAATTTTAGCACGAAAACTTGAGCGAATATACCCGTCTTCGTCTCCGCGAACTACTGGTCTTTTCGCTTATGCTAATGCATACCGCGTGAGGATCAGTAGTTCATGGAGGCGGCACTCAAAGGCATGCTCGGCAAAATGGACCCCTGCCAGATTTTGATGGAAGATTGTCGTCCGCCCTCCTACCCTCCCCAAATACATCGTAGCCTAAACCCGCCCTCCAATTAGCGCTAGTTCCTGAAGTTCTCAAAATCCCACCGAGGCCCTCTCAACAAAGATGGACAGTGCTAGTGGGTTTTTAGGCGCGTCTTCAGGACTCAGCGTATATTTTAGTGTATCGGTTTGGAATTACGATGTACCTGGGAATTTACTACCTACAAAACTAAAATATGACACAGGTCCATTCAGTCGGCTGCTTCAACGAGTATTCACTCCCATACCGTAGAGTGCCAAATGGAGCACCTTTGTTTCTCAAATTCGCTTTCTCAGATTCCACTTGATACATTCTACTAGCGACCCTACGGGTCGCTAGCAAGTGGGTAGGGGCAGATACTATACAAGGGCTTAGTTGTGATTATAAATATTTCTAAATAAGTTTTCTATGCCTTTGCTGAGAACATCTTTGCGAAGCATTCTACAAAAGGAGAACTGTTCGAAGAAGCAATAATCTCCAAAAATCACTCAGCATTTCTCGAAATTCCTGCTGCAACCTCAACAATTTCTATAGAAGATCGTCAAGGAAGTAGAACACCTATCGTTTTGGAAGTAGAAATATCCACAACAACTGTGTACTACAAAAAACACTTTTCTCTCAGAATCAATCCGACAGCAACGAAATCAATCGTCTAAGAACTTTGTCAGAAAATTTTCTAAATTTTCTAATTTTCTAATTTCTTTCGCCAAAGGAATATGAAGCTTACTACATAAGTAGATCCCTCCCCGAAAAGCACACGAGCCACCTAAAGACCGTCAATCATAAGAACTGCATAAACGTACAAAAATCTGTTCCCCTGCCCGATCAAGTTGCCCTACGTGCCGCTTGAAAACAGTTCAAAAATTATAAGAACTGTCCCGAACGTACAAAAATCTGTTCCCCTGCCCGATCAAGTTGCCCTACGTGCCGCTCGAAGACCGTTCAAAATGCCCTACGTGCCGCTTGAAGACCATTTAAAAATTATAAGGACTGCCCCAAACGTACAAAAATCTGTTTTTCTGCCCTATCAAGTTGCCCTACGTGCCGCTTGAAAACCGTTCAAAAATTATAAGAACTGTTCCAAACGTACAAAAATCTGTTCCCCTGCCCGATCAAGTTGCCCTACGTGCCGCTTGAAAACAGTTCAAAAATTATAAGAACTGTCCCGAACGTACAAAAATCTGTTCCCCTGCCCGATCAAGTTGCCCTACGTGCCGCTCGAAGACCGTTCAAAATGCCCTACGTGCCGCTTGAAGACCATTTAAAAATTATAAGGACTGCCCCAAACGTACAAAAATCTGTTTTTCTGCCCGATCAAGTTGCCCTACGTGCCGCTTGAAAACAGTCAAAAATTATAAGAACTGTCCCGAATGTACAAAAATCTGTTCCCCTGCCCGATCAAGTTGCCCTACGTGCCGCTCGAAGACCGTAAAAAATGCCCTACGTGCCGCTTGAAGACCATTTAAAAATTATAAGGACTGCCCCAAACGTACAAAAATCTGTTTTTCTGCCCTATCAAGTTGCCCTACGTGCCGCTTGAAAACCGTTCAAAAATTATAAGAACTGTTCCAAACGTACAAAAATCTGTTCCCCTGCCCGATCAAGTTGCCCTACGTGCCGCTTGAAAACAGTTCAAAAATTATAAGAACTGTCCCGAACGTACAAAAATCTGTTCCCCTGCCCGATCAAGTTGCCCTACGTGCCGCTCGAAGACCGTTCAAAATGCCCTACGTGCCGCTTGAAGACCATTTAAAAATTATAAGGACTGCCCCAAACGTACAAAAATCTGTTTTTCTGCCCGATCAAGTTGCCCTACGTGCCGCTTGAAAACCGTTCAAAAATTATAAGAACTGTCCCAAACGTACAAAAATGTGTTCCCCTGCCCGATCAAGTTGCCCTACGTGCCGCTCGAAGACCGTTCAAAATGCCCTACGTGCCGCTTGAAGACCATTTAAAAATTATAAGGACTGCCCCAAACGTACAAAAATCTGTTTTTCTGCCCGATCAAGTTGCCCTACGTGCCGCTTGAAAACCGTTCAAAAATTATAAGAACTGTCCCAAACGTACAAAAATGTGTTCCCCTGCCCGATCAAGTTGCCCTACGTGCCGCTTGAAAACAGTTCAAAAATTATAAGAACTGTCCCAAACGTACAAAAATCTGTTCCCCTGCCCGATCAAGTTGCCCTGCGTGCCGCTCGAAGACCGTTCAAAATGCCCTACGTGCCGCTTGAAGATCATTTAAAAATTATAAGGACTGCCCTCTGTTCCCCTGCCCGATCAAGTTGCCCTACGTGCCGCTCGAAGACCGTTCAAAATGCCCTACGTGCCGCTTGAAGACCATTTAAAAATTATAAGGACCGCCCCAAACGTACAAAAATCTGTTTTTCTGCCCGATCAAGTTGCCCTACGTGCCGCTTGAAAACAGTCAAAAATTATAAGAACTGTCCCGAATGTACAAAAATCTGTTCCCCTGCCCGATCAAGTTGCCCTACGTGCCGCTCGAAGACCGTAAAAAATGCCCTACGTGCCGCTTGAAGACCATTTAAAAATTATAAGGACTGCCCCAAACGTACAAAAATCTGTTTTTCTGCCCTATCAAGTTGCCCTACGTGCCGCTTGAAAACCGTTCAAAAATTATAAGAACTGTTCCAAAGGTACAAAAATCTGTTCCCCTGCCCGATCAAGTTGCCCTACGTGCCGCTTGAAAACAGTTCAAAAATTATAAGAACTGTCCCGAACGTACAAAAATCTGTTCCCCTGCCCGATCAAGTTGCCCTACGTGCCGCTCGAAGACCGTTCAAAATGCCCTACGTGCCGCTTGAAGACCATTTAAAAATTATAAGGACTGCCCCAAACGTACAAAAATCTGTTTTTCTGCCCGATCAAGTTGCCCTACGTGCCGCTTGAAAACCGTTCAAAAATTATAAGAACTGTCCCAAACGTACAAAAATGTGTTCCCCTGCCCGATCAAGTTGCCCTACGTGCCGCTCGAAGACCGTTCAAAATGCCCTACGTGCCGCTTGAAGACCATTTAAAAATTATAAGGACTGCCCCAAACGTACAAAAATCTGTTTTTCTGCCCGATCAAGTTGCCCTACGTGCCGCTTGAAAACCGTTCAAAAATTATAAGAACTGTTCCAAACGTACAAAAATCTGTTCCCCTGCCCGATCAAGTTGCCCTACGTGCCGCTTGAAAACAGTTCAAAAATTATAAGAACTGTCCCGAACGTACAAAAATCTGTTCCCCTGCCCGATCAAGTTGCCCTACGTGCCGCTCGAAGACCGTTCAAAATGCCCTACGTGCCGCTTGAAGACCATTTAAAAATTATAAGGACTGCCCCAAACGTACAAAAATCTGTTTTTCTGCCCGATCAAGTTGCCCTACGTGCCGCTTGAAAACCGTTCAAAAATTATAAGAACTGTCCCAAACGTACAAAAATGTGTTCCCCTGCCCGATCAAGTTGCCCTACGTGCCGCTCGAAGACCGTTCAAAATGCCCTACGTGCCGCTTGAAGACCATTTAAAAATTATAAGGACTGCCCCAAACGTACAAAAATCTGTTTTTCTGCCCGATCAAGTTGCCCTACGTGCCGCTTGAAAACCGTTCAAAAATTATAAGAACTGTCCCAAACGTACAAAAATGTGTTCCCCTGCCCGATCAAGTTGCCCTACGTGCCGCTTGAAAACAGTTCAAAAATTATAAGAACTGTCCCAAACGTACAAAAATCTGTTCCCCTGCCCGATCAAGTTGCCCTGCGTGCCGCTCGAAGACCGTTCAAAATGCCCTACGTGCCGCTTGAAGATCATTTAAAAATTATAAGGACTGCCCTCTGTTCCCCTGCCCGATCAAGTTGCCCTACGTGCCGCTCGAAGACCGTTCAAAATGCCCTACGTGCCGCTTGAAGACCATTTAAAAATTATAAGGACCGCCCCAAACGTACAAAAATCTGTTTTTCTGCCCGATCAAGTTGCCCTACGTGCCGCTTGAAAACAGTCAAAAATTATAAGAACTGTCCCGAATGTACAAAAATCTGTTCCCCTGCCCGATCAAGTTGCCCTACGTGCCGCTCGAAGACCGTAAAAAATGCCCTACGTGCCGCTTGAAGACCATTTAAAAATTATAAGGACTGCCCCAAACGTACAAAAATCTGTTTTTCTGCCCTATCAAGTTGCCCTACGTGCCGCTTGAAAACCGTTCAAAAATTATAAGAACTGTTCCAAAGGTACAAAAATCTGTTCCCCTGCCCGATCAAGTTGCCCTACGTGCCGCTTGAAAACAGTTCAAAAATTATAAGAACTGTCCCGAACGTACAAAAATCTGTTCCCCTGCCCGATCAAGTTGCCCTACGTGCCGCTCGAAGACCGTTCAAAATGCCCTACGTGCCGCTTGAAGACCATTTAAAAATTATAAGGACTGCCCCAAACGTACAAAAATCTGTTTTTCTGCCCGATCAAGTTGCCCTACGTGCCGCTTGAAAACCGTTCAAAAATTATAAGAACTGTCCCAAACGTACAAAAATGTGTTCCCCTGCCCGATCAAGTTGCCCTACGTGCCGCTCGAAGACCGTTCAAAATGCCCTACGTGCCGCTTGAAGACCATTTAAAAATTATAAGGACTGCCCCAAACGTACAAAAATCTGTTTTTCTGCCCGATCAAGTTGCCCTACGTGCCGCTTGAAAACCGTTCAAAAATTATAAGAACTGTCCCAAACGTACAAAAATGTGTTCCCCTGCCCGATCAAGTTGCCCTACGTGCCGCTTGAAAACAGTTCAAAAATTATAAGAACTGTCCCAAACGTACAAAAATCTGTTCCCCTGCCCAATCAAGTTGCCCTGCGTGCCGCTCGAAGACCGTTCAAAATGCCCTACGTGCCGCTTGAAGATCATTTAAAAATTATAAGGACTGCCCTCTGTTCCCCTGCCCGATCAAGTTGCCCTACGTGCCGCTTGAAGACCATTTAAAAATTATAAGGACCGCCCCAAACGTACAAAAATCTGTTTTTCTGCCCGATCAAGTTGCCCTACGTGCCGCTTGAAAACAGTCAAAAATTATAAGAACTGTCCCGAATGTACAAAAATCTGTTCCCCTGCCCGATCAAGTTGCCCTACGTGCCGCTCGAAGACCGTTCAAAATGCCCTACGTGCCGCTTGAAGACCATTTAAAAATTATAAGGACTGCCCCAAACGTACAAAAATCTGTTTTTCTGCCCGATCAAGTTGCCCTACGTGCCGCTTGAAAACCGTTCAAAAATTATAAGAACTGTCCCAAACGTACAAAAATGTGTTCCCCTGCCCGATCAAGTTGCCCTACGTGCCGCTTGAAAACAGTTCAAAAATTATAAGAACTGTCCCAAACGTACAAAAATCTGTTCCCCTGCCCGATCAAGTTGCCCTGCGTGCCGCTCGAAGACCGTTCAAAATGCCCTACGTGCCGCTTGAAGATCATTTAAAAATTATAAGGACTGCCCTCTGTTCCCCTGCCCGATCAAGTTGCCCTACGTGCCGCTCGAAGACCGTTCAAAATGCCCTACGTGCCGCTTGAAGACCATTTAAAAATTATAAGGACTGCCCCAAACGTACAAAAATCTGTTTTTCTGCCCTATCAAGTTGCCCTACGTGCCGCTTGAAAACCGTTCAAAAATTATAAGAACTGTTCCAAACGTACAAAAATCTGTTCCCCTGCCCGATCAAGTTGCCCTACGTGCCGCTTGAAAACAGTTCAAAAATTATAAGAACTGTCCCGAACGTACAAAAATCTGTTCCCCTGCCCGATCAAGTTGCCCTACGTGCCGCTCGAAGACCGTTCAAAATGCCCTACGTGCCGCTTGAAGATCATTTAAAAATTATAAGGACTGCCCTCTGTTCCCCTGCCCGATCAAGTTGCCCTACGTGCCGCTCGAAGACCGTTCAAAATGCCCTACGTGCCGCTTGAAGACCATTTAAAAATTATAAGGACTGCCCCAAACGTACAAAAATCTGTTTTTCTGCCCTATCAAGTTGCCCTACGTGCCGCTTGAAAACCGTTCAAAAATTATAAGAACTGTTCCAAACGTACAAAAATCTGTTCCCCTGCCCGATCAAGTTGCCCTACGTGCCGCTTGAAAACAGTTCAAAAATTATAAGAACTGTCCCGAACGTACAAAAATCTGTTCCCCTGCCCGATCAAGTTGCCCTACGTGCCGCTCGAAGACCGTTCAAAATGCCCTACGTGCCGCTTGAAGACCATTTAAAAATTATAAGGACTGCCCCAAACGTACAAAAATCTGTTTTTCTGCCCGATCAAGTTGCCCTACGTGCCGCTTGAAAACCGTTCAAAAATTATAAGAACTGTCCCAAACGTACAAAAATGTGTTCCCCTGCCCGATCAAGTTGCCCTACGTGCCGCTCGAAGACCGTTCAAAATGCCCTACGTGCCGCTTGAAGACCATTTAAAAATTATAAGGACTGCCCCAAACGTACAAAAATCTGTTTTTCTGCCCGATCAAGTTGCCCTACGTGCCGCTTGAAAACCGTTCAAAAATTATAAGAACTGTCCCAAACGTACAAAAATGTGTTCCCCTGCCCGATCAAGTTGCCCTACGTGCCGCTTGAAAACAGTTCAAAATGCCCTACGTGCCGCTTGAAGATCATTTAAAAATTATAAGGACTGCCCTCTGTTCCCCTGCCCGATCAAGTTGCCCTACGTGCCGCTCGAAGACCGTTCAAAATGCCCTACGTGCCGCTTGAAGACCATTTAAAAATTATAAGGACCGCCCCAAACGTACAAAAATCTGTTTTTCTGCCCGATCAAGTTGCCCTACGTGCCGCTTGAAAACTGTTCAAAAATTATAAGAACTGCCCCAAACGTACAAAAATCTGTTTCCCTGCCCGATCGAGTTGCCCTACGTGCTGCTTACAGACCGATAGTAACTATTCAAAAAGAAAGTTTAAGCCCTAGGTGCCGCTTGAAGACCGTATATATAAGAAAAAACATCTACGACCCCTAAAAACAACGAAATCAGGTATTTACAGCGTATTCTGAAATTGCCGTACATGCCATTTTTGGACTTTCAATTCTGAGAACTGCCCCAAACGTACAAAAATCTGTTTCCCTGCCCGATGCAATTGCCCTACGTGCCGTTTACACACCGATTCCTAGTTAAAAGCGCAAGCGGTACCCATTAACAAGCAAAAGCAAGGCTGTTATTAGATAAACGTTTCCAAAAGTACCAGCGAGACCAAGTTACTCACGCACTCTCTTGTCTACACGTGGAAGCAAGACGATCCTAAAGTGACTGTTCTTAGTTAGAGCATTTTTACAAGAGTTGGGAACTTAGATGGATTTAGCTCAAGTCACGCTGTTACGCAATTTGGCATCATTTCAAAAGCAACTAATAGAAGTACGACATATTCGGAAGACACATTCTGGGATAACAAGCTCGAAAAAAAAAGCAGGTACAAGTATTAACACACCCGGATGGCGACCCATTCTCAAAATCATTGCGACACTCATGATTGCCTTTCGAAATACGTGTGACCCTTTTACGAAAATATGCTTGGTCACTCGTTTGAAATTTGGCAGCGTTCCAAAACGCATACCACTTGGCAGCAATCCAATTCCAAAGATCAGTGTATTTCATCATAATTTTTACGTCTGCGGCCTCCTCGTTTGCCATGATCCAACTATCGGGCGGCTTAATGGGTAAACAACGAATTCGTTATATATTACGTAGTGATTCAGGCGCTTCCGCTCGAACACGGTTACATCATTCGTATACCAGATCCAGCATCCGTCGATGTCCTAGTGGAATTCTCACTTATGGTGAAACAAAACGGACGTGATTGCCCAAGGCTGTGCCTCCATAAAAGACGCTACATACCTTGCCGACGTTCTACTGTACGCCTGAGCAAGTACCCGGCATACTCCGAAAAACTTCACTACTTTAAGGTAATCAATAAAATACTTTTCTTTCTTCTTGAACTGCAGTATCCTTTTTAGACCCCTAGACAAGTTATCGACCGCATGTTCAAAGGTGCTGGCTATTTTCGACGACGTAAACAGGACGCCTTCTTATTCACATGTCCAAATTGATGCATAACAATTATTTTATATGTATAATAAACAAGGACAACGTAGCATATTTATCAGTCCACTGATCGACATGCATTTACTTCAGCTTCTTCTTGATGCGGAGATCATTTGAGTGTCCGCACTTCTTCTTTCTGCAATTCGAGGCTCGAGGGGGAAGACGAGCATAGCATTTACGGCAGATCTGCTTGTCACAGTTGTACTTCTGGGCAAGCTGACGAAGAGATGGCTCGATGATACCTGATTCACATATGAAAAACTAGTTGATTTGAATCAAATCAAAAAATAAAGAGAACCAGAAAATCATATACAACATCTACTTGAAAAAGTCTAATAGCAAAGTAAAATAAATTCTGGATCCTACCTCCACGGAGACGGAGTACCAGATGAAGAGTGGACTCCTTCTGGATGTTGTAGTCAGACAGCGTGCGACCGTCTTCGAGCTGCTTTCCTAAAAAAATGGTATTATCATCAGAAACTGTTCCCTAGAAGTCGAGAAATATAGTTCAAAGGAATACTCAGCCCCGGCCAGACTTCGCTCAAAAGCATCCAAATTTTTCTAATTCTCTTCACTTTTTGTGTGAGGAGAGATGAGAGACTTAGAGAAATTTGGGCGCCTCTGAGCGCTTTTGAAAGCTTTTGAGCTAGTCTGGCCGGAGCTTCATAGTTTTTGATGGCTATATTACGAGGTCATCAAAAAAATTGATCAAAATTTCTAATATAAAAAAAATGTAAGCGTAATTCAAAAATCTGCACATAGCGGAAAACCGCGTGACAGTCCCGAAGCGCGCAGATACAGCCTGGCACCTTTAATTACTGGTTCACTAGTCTATTAAGAAAACTACAGAGCGCGTTTCATTTCTCCAATTTCAGCGAGCACAATTTCACTGGTTTTCGTATCTGAGTCTTTACATAAACGCTGGATTAGGTATGGGAGAGTCTCAAAATAAAAAATCATTCCCATCTAGATGGATAAGTAATGCAGTATCTTGAGATGAAATTAGACGAAATGGAAGACTTACCAGCGAAGATAAGACGTTGCTGGTCGGGAGGGATGCCCTCTTTGTCCTGGATCTTTGCCTTGACATTTTCGATGGTATCCGAGGCCTCTACCTCGAGGGTGATGGTCTTCCCGGTAAGAGTTTTCACAAAGATTTGCATACTAAACAGCCGATTTAAAGAGAGGAAATATGACAGAAAAACACGGAAAAGTCGAGCACCGAACAACACATATACCAAGAAAAGTAATTCAGTACTTTGTTTATCTACAATTTCAAAAATTTAGATGTTGCTGAACGAGGACGAGCACGATCATCGTAGGTATTTCGCATATAACAACGCAATGATTTATATATCATCGGACTCCAGGTTTGCGTGGAGGCCAGTTGCGGACTTTCCCTAACTGTAAAGATAAACTTGTTAAACCTCCACGTCACAGCATTTTTTCATACTCTCTCGTTAACTTTATTTTTATAACCAGGCAAAGTCCGCAACCGCATCCGTTCGAATCTGGGAGCCGATCTTACACTGAAGACATGAAGATCGGCACAATGTTTGATTATGTCGTTAAAACTCTTCTGCCCAAATTTCAAGGAACTTTTCAGAGGGCTGGCTTCAACTGGATTGTACAGTACCAAGCACTGATTACGCTTCGATAAAGCAGGCTTACGGTAGAAGTTCTAACAAGTCCAAATAAAAAGGTAGCTCATTTGCCGTTGCAGGGCACTGTTCCACATTAGTGACCCAAAAAATGGAAATCGTGAATTCCGCTAAAACTTCGTCTAGGGGGGTTATTTGGTACGATGAACACGAATATGATGTTTATTTCGTGCGATAGCGCCATCCGGTGGAGTTACGGAGGATTACGGTAGGGGGTCAAAATCACGGATTTACCCGAAACTTGGCGCAGAGAGATTATTCGGCCCGCTGATGCTGAATATCACATTGGTTTTGTACTGTTTATTCGACATGCTGTTTGGAAATGTCACACCTTCTCCACATGAAAACGTCTCCCTGCATGGTTACGGTAGGTTTCGGTAGGAGTCAAAATCACAAATCGGCAAACGTATCTTCCCTCTGTGCTTTGCTTGGGCAAAAGCCGCAGCGGGGTGTGTAGCGCGCGGCGGTGGTCATGTGTGCAAAGCTTCACGATCGTTCGAATCGCCATACACCCGTTTCAAGCAGAACTATGTTTAACACCCGTTACCGTGTAGCTACCGTAGCCCGAGAAAAACGCTACAGTTCAAAACCAATGTGATATTTGGCATCAGCGGGCCGAATAACTCCTCTGGGCCAAGTTTCGGGCAAATCTGTGATTTTGACCCCCTACCGTAACCCTACCGCAACTCCACCGGATGGCGCTGTCGCACGAAATAAACATCATATCGTGTTCAGCATACCAAATAACCCCCCTAAACGAAGTTTCAGCGAAATTCACGACTTTCATTTTTTAGGTCAACTAATGTGGAATAGTACCGTTTCGTATAATAACGCCGTGATCAGTCTAAGGGGGGGGGGGCAGGCGTTATGGAGCAAAGCTACGCCGCATTTCCCTGCGGTATACCCTGAGGGCCATTTGCGCTGCGTCGCCTTTAATTGCGAAGGAGTAGCGCTGCTCCTGCCAGCAGCCATTACTACGACCTAATATTATGTTGGCACGAAAGTTCTTGCGTAATTCAAACAAAATTCAATAACTTTTCAAAGACTAAACCTAACCTTCCACAGAAACCTGTTTCTGTGGAAAAATTAGAGCGATAAGGGGATTTGTCCTGTGAAATGAGAAATTTCACAAATTTTTTGTTTTCGCATTTCCATGCAAGATCAAAGCCTGCTAAAATAACGTATGGACTTTTGCTGAGTAAGTAAATTCTACGGTTTTTTTTTCGGCTAGCTAGCGGCCCTCTGCGATTTTCTGCCACCAAACTCAAAATCGCAAAATTTGAAACCCCATATTTAAGAGCTTCGTTCTCGATGGCTAGCTCATGGAATGTTGTGCTTGAATTTCCATCATGGAGCGTAAGACTTCTGTTATTTCACACAAGATTGTGAATTTAGGTTTAGTCTTTGAAAAGTTATTGAATTTTGTTTGAATTGCGCAAGAACTTTGGTGCCAACCTAATATGTTCAAACGTATGAATGCAATAAGGAAAACGAAGAAGACCGCACTTTAAAAAATTCAAAGAATAGATGAATGAAAATAGGGATGAAATCAAAGGCTAAATCTGGGATGATCCAATGCTGGAAGTGGAGCACGAGAATTAGTAGAGAAAAAGGATAGAAATACTCCATCAATGACTTTTCAAGAGAAATTAACATCCTCATCTTTTGATTTCTGTCGGCTTGTTCCTCATATTTTACATTTGATTCCCCCCTGAAATGCGTTTACCATTCACATTTTGTTCTCGTTATCTAAGGAGGATGAGGAAAATGGCTCGATTGCGCGGTAGCGGTAGCTCCTAAATATGCGACTGCAATTAGAAGCGACGCAACGCAAAGAGCCCTCAAGATATACCACAGGCAAATGCGGCGTAGCTTTGCTCCATAACGCGGCGCCGCCTTTGAGAAGAAATAAGTCTAACACGCTGAAAATATATTGGTCATTGTATTTTCAAAAGATTGAAAACACTGATACATAGACACCCATTGCGCAATACGAAGCAAGCCTATGGAATTTCAATGGTGGTGGTAAAGCACTGATTTAAAAGCGAGAAACGATACAAACCTTGTCAACCAATTTCGAACGCTGAGCTAGTAAGAGTACCAACCCTTAGGCCTCGGCCAGACCTCGCTCAAAAGCGCCCAAAAGGGCTCAAAAGCGCTCAAAAACGCCCCGAATTCTCTAATGTCTCTTCACCTTTTCGTCTGAGGAAAGATGAGAGAATTAGAGAAACTTGGGCGCTCTTGGGCGTTTTGAGCGAAGTCTGGTCGAAGCCTAAGAAAACTTTTCACATCCCCAAGTGAGTCTCCACTTTTGTGACGAAATTAACTTAAAGGAAATCGTTCTTATCACAAGTGATTGCTGACAGACGGAATCGTGCCACATGGCTACACCCAAAAAATTAAGATCAGGTGGATATATTGGCAGAAATGACAGAAATCGTTCAAGGCAAAGGGTGCTCTAATTTGGGCAATAAATTTATCAAAATACAACCAAGGTGTTAACTTGGTTGCGAGCTAAAATGATGCCCAATTCCGAACAGATGGATAGCACTCCGGCTGAATTTCTATGATTAACAACTCCCAACGAATTCAACTCAGAAGATATGACCATTGGGGCTAGAAAACGGCCAAATTCTTGGCAGGAAAGTAGACATGAGTGATTTGAAACTAGCATAAAGTTGGACAGTGCGAAAAGACGTACTACATGGTACTAGCAAAAACGAGACGCCACAGAAACATATGCCATCGAGAAATCGCCTTTACACTCAATCATAGGCGGCTCCAACAATGTTGAAATTACAGGATAACATGACGAAAAGTGGGAAAACACACGATGGAGAGGCTAAAACCGTCCAGACAACGAAATTGATGTGATGAAACAAGAATCGAATACTCAGCAAGCCGGGTGCCGTCGCAGCGAAATTTCTGGCATTCTGCCAGAAAGTGTGATTGGAGCGCGATCACGCACTTTCGAAGTTTTTTTTTCCTTGCAACGTTTCTTCCTTTGTAACGTTTTGACAGAATAATCTCTAGGATTTCGTTATGGCAGATGATTATAAGAAAGTTAAAGGAGGCAGCCTGAAGCTAAAAGGGAACAAGGGAGCATTGTAAGTTTGTTTTTTCCGCTTTAATTTGATCTTGGTTGTTATCATCGTTTTCTTCATATATCAGATTCAAAGCCGACAAGCATAAGAAGCATAAGTCGAAGAAAACTGAGACTAATAGGGATGACCCAGATGCAAAGGCGCACGGTGATTTTCTTCATTTTTCTCTTTTGCAGCATTATTATGGCATTTACCAATTGTCAAACAAATGTCATAACTCATTCATTTTCCCATTTCTATATCTGTTTGCCTCGTAGATATTTTGGCACAATTCAACAGAGCTTCTCCCAATTTTTTGGGATATATTATCGTCAATGGAAATTACATGAATAAGATCAAATTATCAAGCCTAGATGTCTTCTCCTGTAACTTATCTAGGCTTAATTAAACCAAGGTAGAAATTGAAGCGATTAAACTTTAGGTTTGGGTTACCTACACTTCTCATAAAGCTAAACATATATTGAGCGACAAATGTCATAATTCAGTCATTGAAACTGTTTCATCTCTTATGATCTTCCGTATTCTATGCTACCTTATAATATCGGTTGTTTGTCCAAGTAAAAATTTGTTCCTTAATCACGTTTTCTATGCAAGTTTCTCTTCAAGGAGGCTGGTGGCAAATAAAAGACGAAGTCGATCTGAAAGGAGGCGAGCATGTCTCCTTCGAATGTGGAAGTGGCAATTGTTGCTATCTTTCTGCACTAGATAATGGCCGCTTTACTATCGGGTTGCCTCATCCAGATGGCGAAGAACCGAATCCTGAGGAGATCTTTGCAGTCGTAAAAACTCCTGATGATCCCAAGTCAAGGTAAGCCTTATTTGTATGAACTCAATAGTCTTATTGGCATAATATTTCAGTTTTAAAACGGGTTATGGCAAGTATATTGGAGTCGATGTTAATGGAGCTTTGGTAGCTACTGCAGAAGCGATTGGTACGCGAGAGCGGTTCCAAGTAGTCTTTGAGGAGGTAAGAGCCCACATTCCTTTGCTAGGGATGCATTTCCAACTTGTGCACCTTTCTGTTGTTATGATCACTCTTTTTCAATCAATTGAGTCTTTCTAATACTAAATTCAGAGCTTTCTCTTATTTTTTATGCTTTTGAGAAATTTTCGTACTCAGGTTGGACATTTTGGTTATCAGATTAGAAACTTCAGGGTAAAAGTGCCATTCAAGCTGTTTGCAACCCATTATTTTTGACCATGGCCGTAGACAAAGATGGTATGATATACGTAGCAAGCAAGAAAGCTGGACCAGACGAGATGGTCAATGTAAGTAGTTTTTGGTTGCATGCTTTTACCGTTATGATTGCTTAATCACAGATTCGAACAAATGCCGAAAAGACTGGACCAGTAGATTGGCGGTCAGCTGAGGATAAAAAGTCGGCCAAAGACTGTACAACTGCTTACATGTACGCCTTTGCTCGCTTTGTATAACTCCCTGAGCTTTTGTCAAACATTACTGCATTCAGGAAAATCTATCAACACTCCAAAGTCGATACCAAGCTACGTGCCATTCCTGAAGATGTCTTTGATATGAAAAGCGTAAAGCGAGCGCAAAAGGAGGGTGATTTGCACGAAACACTACTCGCTAAAAGGATCAAAATGAAATCAGATCGGTACTGTTGATTGATTTATCTCTTGTATTTTTGATCTTCTTGAATAATAAAACTTCCAAGAGAAATTTACATTTTCCTCTATCTTGCTTTTTTTACTGAAAAGCTTGGGATTGTTGCATGGTACAATAACTGAGTTTTGGGATAGATTTCCTTTGGATTTACAACATCGTTACAGCATGTGTTACTCCCAGGGCACGGCACAGGTGGCTTAGCAAGCAAGCTGGATATCGGTTTTGGTGAAAAAGCAAAGGGAATGTCGTTTTTGCGGAAGAGCATAACGTTGTCTTTCGATCTGTGGCCGGCACGCTGCCGGCATGCCGCTAGCAAATAAACAAAAGGTTTGTTTACAGCGAAGTGAAGATGAAATGACAACAAAATAGGTGTGTAGATGGGCAATGGGGAGTTAGGACCAAGTATGAAAAATTATGTGAATTGAAGGCGTGCTCAACTTTTTTCGGAGTTAGGTGGCTTTCAAGCCACCTAGATAGCCACCTGAGGTGGCTTAGGAAAGAAAAAGTCATAAATTTTTCCTCCCTCACATAATTTTTCTACTTTCTTTACATACTTTTCATCTACATCCCAAACCCTATAAACTGGTTCCTAAACCGCCTCAAACCCCCTTCTCTCCGCTTAGTTATAGCCCCCTGAAAATTTTGAATGGCCGCGGAAAGGCTGCTCTAGGCGCGTATTGCTGCACGTTGGATACATCATGCCGCCCTTCCGGAGAATATGAATATAATTGCATGTGTTCGATGATTCTTTTTCGTTTTTTTCTGCTGCTGCTTTGTTCCGTTCCTTTTCATGTATTTTCTCTTCGAATATCTCGTGGCGGATGTCGTAATTTCATTGAAGTCAAAAATTTCGGGACGCCACTTCGTGCCGAGCCCTGGTCTAGGGTCAAAGGAGAATTCGTAAAAATTCGCAAAAGTCAAGGGGGGCTTCGTTTTTTGCATTTTCAACTAGCCACCTCGTGCCGAGCCCTGGTTACTCCGCGTTTTATTGAATTTACGACTTGTTTGGTGTTGGGAAAAGGGCTCTAGTTTTTTTTCGAGTCTGAAAAGGCTATTGCAAGATCTGCAGTGAAGTATGCTTTTTTTTCTCCCCCACTTTCTGCAAGCACTTCAGCCACTTCTTCGATTCATCCAGAAAACCACTTGAGGGTTGGGCATACATCACGCAACTCGTCTCGCGATTTTCCAGACAAGACAATAACACGAGCCCATTGCATGCTGTTCATCTTGCAATTCGCTTGTAATAGTCAGTGGCGATTAGTCGCGTCGAGAATCTATTACAACCGAAATGCAAGACGATCGGCATGCAATGGACTCGTGCCAGTTGTCCTGTCAAGAGAATCTTGCGATGAAGTCGTTCAATGTATCCCACTCCGTAATGATCAGTCAGGCTTCAAATTTGCTGCATTCATATGGCTCGTATGTCTGTTCGGAAATCACAAAGTATTGGAAGGCGAATCCTGCGTAGATGAGTTTGGAGTTGACTCCTATGTCCTAATTCATTTGATCGCTTTGGTCAACTGCAAACGTCTCCGTAAAAGTTGTCATATGTACGCTCGATAAACATTTCAGACTTTTATGCTCATTATAGTTAATCTGCTATATGAACAAATTATAAACACACCAACAACGATATAAAAAAAGAGAATAGAGCGAAGAAGAAGAATGAAGAATCAATGAGATACAACTGAAACCATATATTCAAACGTAATCACACACGCACAGATAATCTATACACAAACGAACGAAAGGGACGACGCTATTCACAGTCGGGTCAGATGGAAATTCTTAATCAACGAAATGATATATGAATTGATAAAACCTTAAAGAGAGGCCGGCATACACGTTGATCCTTTGATTTGACTCGAGCTGCAATGGCCGTCGGCAGCCACCTTACCTTGACAAAAGCACATTAAAACAGACGCATACGAAGAACATGTACAGTTCGGGACTATATCAACGGGGTGAGTGCTTGACTTAATCGTTGTTGTTGTTAGATGTCGTTTCCGCGTATGTGACTTCATCTGCCCCCACAGATGATGTCATGACGGGGAGAGCACGACTTCAGGGGTGGAGGAAATTCAAGCTTTGCTCGCCTCCGAATCAGCTGGACGTGCAGTGACGCATGTGTTCGCCACATTTTGGAATAATCTAAAAAAAGGGTTTAACAAATGGAAATAAAAATTCTGCAACAGAATACATATTCTCTTCTCAACACAACATTGCCTAGCTTGTAATTTCCTCCTTTAATCAGTGCACCTGCTATAAACCTGCAGCGCAACACTTCTTATGCATAAGTAAACAACAAGCAGTAATAAGTTATAAGCGAACACTCACCGCTCTATTTCAGGAGCGCATCGGGTAAACTCGTACTTCCAGAAGTTGTACACAGGATTTTTGATTAGTTCGATGAAAGTGATCAGCAGACCCCATGGATGAGGTCTCAACGCCACCAAGCGTTCAAACAGAATGCGAGTGATTTGTTCCTGGAAATAAAATTATGGGGCTAATGAATTAAGATAACCTCAATGCTTAACGAAAAAAATGACCGTGGATAAAACCAAAGAAAAAATTCACCTGAATCGCATCATGATCTGAGTTCAAGAACAAAAACAAGAACACACAGCTGAAGTAGTGTGTATGCGCATTCGGATATCGCAATTGATTGGCGATTGCGTTGAACAGCAGATAACGCCCTAAATCGGTCTAGTCAGTGAAAATAGTGCAATCGGACTGAGACCATGAGAAAGTAAACATCACGAAAACACCACACACCTTCCGTGCACAACTGAACGGCCAAGTTTTGGAAAATGTCCATGAAAGCTGTATGCGCAATCGTGCAGATTGAGATACGCTGACGACGCTCATGCAAGCTTTCAATGGCCCTAAAAAACATAACTTATGGCGACAAAATGATCAAACCAAACCAACTCACTTCATTCCAACATACAACACCATCGCATTCATCACTGTGCTGTTATACTTCGAACCAGGATTATCAGAAATCTGAAAATCACAAATTCAAATTTCTCCTATACGGAAAAAGCTGAAACGAACCTGAAGCATGCCGGGCAAGGCTGACAAGAAATCAACGGCCGACCTTGTCCTCAAATAGGCATCCAGTGGCAGTCGGATAGAATCTGGGATAATCGATGCCATGTTCAAGTTCGATTTTGGCTCAATTGCCATTTCTGGGATGCTGTCGACTTGCTGAAAAATGAACACGATATGAGGATAGGCTAAAGAATAAAACGAGATATGTAGACCTTGAAATTCAATGCGAATGGATCTGGCAGACGCATATTCCGAGGGTACGCTGAGAGCACCAGATTTCGAAGTTGTACACAGTTTGGCGGGATGGTGTCGATAATCACATAGTGATACTCGCAAAGAAGCTCAGGGAAGTCATGAAGGATCACGAGCAACACTCTAGACAGAACCAGATATATTCAAAGGCTATAAGGTCTATCAAAGACAAAATCACTAAAAATCTTGACTTCATTGGTGAACGCAATAAACGGAGCTTGTTCAAAGAATTACAAAGAAGGTTCAAAGATTACAATCCAACTTTCTCCGCAACCCCTCTATTAGTAACAACGAATGAAAATGGAAAAATATGACCTAGCATCAAAGAGACCGAGCAATGGGAAAAAGAAAAAAACTGATTTAATGTTACTTACCTGAGTGTTCCCTTATACAACACTGCTATCGATTTCGGCAAATGGATATTCCTCAGGAATGGTGCAAGGAATTTCAGATGACATATTAGCAGCTGTGTGTACATAGCGGACGTCTTCATGGGATCAACATTTTCGGCAAAACCATTACCTAAAAATTCAGTCGTAGCGTCAAAAACTAGGCAAACACGGAAAGTGCAATTCTCACCTCCAAGGAGGGCTCCAATCACAGCTCTATGACCGACAAAGTCGAGCCAGGCATAGGCAAAAGCTGGACATCGACGAGGTTGCAGCAGGAAAAGAGCGTTCTAGAAAGATATAAAATTTTTCTAGAGCGAAGAAAAGTTATTGGAGGCACTTTACCTGTCCAAACGCTTCGATAATGGACCATGCAATCGACTCAAGATTTGAGCCGTCAGGTGTGGTCAGCTCGATGAATAACGTGATCAAGATTCTGTGATAGGGCATTGCGTTGAACTCATGCCTTCGGACTTCATGGTCGACATGCAGAACGCTAGTGATAATGTGCAGCACTTTCTTTAGGAGAGCTATCTTGGAAGTGCCTGATGGTGATGCGCTTCCTCCATCAGAATACTTGATCATCAGTCTAAAATATTCACCTGCATTTTTGGAAACAAAAAAATGGATAGGAGAATTTTTACTGAAAATGCGAAAAAAGTAGTGATACTCACGCCATCAGTTTGACGAAAGCATCCAAAGTATAGTAGCATCTTTGTCGCACGATGTTCGATTGGCTAACTGGCGCGTTCGCATCAGTTTTCAGCAAACGCAGCGCTACGTCTACACACATTTCGGTGCACATTCGGATAAACTGGGAGATCTTCTCATCACCGGATAGGACGCCATGTTCGTGCATCTAACACAGTTAAAAAAATCAACAGTATTTACAAAGAAAAGATTACGCCCACTAACCATCACAATCATTTGGAACAATGCTTCTTTCGGATTTCTCTGTGCCAGTGGTGTATAACACAATCCAATCCATTCCCTCAAGATGATCTCCACTTTGTCAGACATTCCAGGCTCCTCAGCCGCTGGCGGTACTGCCGGTGGTATTCCCGGTCCTGCCGTGGCCGCAACCAATGCATCCATAGCAGCTGGTCCTAGAGGAGAGTCAAGATTCGGTTCAGCTGTTCCTGCAGCAGCAGCTTGTTGACGCAGGATTGCTTGCATTTGCTGCATTTTCAAGAGTTGCTCATAGGTCGCTGGGAAAGCCTAAACGCACATATAAGAATAAAAATAGCTGCAGCTTCACGCTTAGAGGACAAAATCTATAAGAAGAAGAAGAAAGCCAGCTGTACCTCCTTTATCACCGGCCCTCTAGCTGCATCGTTAAACCCAATAAGGCGGAAAAACCTCTGTGCAAACAACGTTGCCTCCATATTCGAGCCTCCATCCATGACATGTGCTAAGTGTTGATCGAAGACTTGGTTTTGTACTAGTTGATGTTTTAACAACACCTAAAGAAGTTACTATGCGATGCGCATGACTTGACCCAGCTGGGTAAGCAAACCTCAATCGCCTCCACATTCCACTTGTAATCCATTCTCACATTCACAATGCTACCAGTAATGCGTCGAGACAAATCCACTAGGGTGAACTGTGTCAGCAACACACGGCATACACCCAGGAACAAGTCACGAAGTCTTCGGGCCCACTCAACATCGAGAGCTGGAAACCACAGTCTATAGCTTCAAGAATACAATTATACTCCCTTTGATACCTTTGGAAGTGCTGTCAACATGGTACGCATGCAAAAGGTGTTCCACGGATCGTGTGATCAGGTTCACAACAGTCATGGAGTCTCGTGGATTTGCTGCCAGTTGTGAGAGAAGATCTCGAATCGCACCCACTCCTTGGAAGGCCTGTAAACGTAGGATGGTCATAAACACACTCACATCACCTAGCTGGCAAATGACTTCCGGCCAAACCTATACCGGAATCAGAAAAAAAAGAGAAAAAAACATGTCCAAGAAAAGTAAAAAGTGAGATGCAGTATTTTGATCATAAACTATCGGTAAGCCAGGGTCCGGCAGAGATTGTATGGAAACGAGGTTTTTGGGGGCGAAAAAGCAAAGGGGGTTTCGCTTCCGTGGCCGAAAAGACGCGAAAACTTGCGGCCTTTTTTTGGTCAACGTTTCGTTTTTTGAGGATTTCTCACAAATATGGTTTGGGGTCAAAGGGGACAGTAAATTTTGGCGAAAGTCAAGAGGGACTTCGTCTTCAAAAAGCCTAGAAACGGACTCATGCCGGGCCCTGCGGTAAGCACGCATGAAATATTTGTCAGAACAATGGCTGCACTCGCGTATAACGGCCTCTGGACTGGCGTACAACCATGAGGAAAAAAGTAACATTCCTAACTCGGGTACTGCGGTAAGGCACCTGGCGAACATTACCCTGATTTTTCCGAGTTAAGTAAAAATGATAATGGTAAATTCCATATTCTGTAACTTACCTGTTCATAATGAAAGGCTCAAATTATACAAACCTAGTGCTACAGAGGTAGAATTGTTTTTGTGCAAGAACTTGCAACCTCACGGATATGTGACGTAGCAGAGAAAACAAGGGGAAAAAAAGAAACAAACCTTATTTGTTGGATTTGGCTGTGCTTGCATCGTTATGTCCACTTCCTTGATGATACTATTCAGTTGCTGAGTGAGTTGCTCCACTTCCTTGGCAGTCTCCGGTAGTGACATCACTCTATTCACCGGTTCCATAACATTTGCCGAGGCCTCGTCAGGAATCGTCGGTTTGAAACCACAAATTCGGCTAAGATAATCGATTTCGCATAGAAAATAACGATGATTTCGTAACATCAACGTTTACATTATTTTTACCTGCTAAACTGGTCGTAAATAGCCTGATGTTCTTTCCTTGTAGGACCAACTTGAATAGCGATTCGAGGTGGCAGCTCAGCTTGGATCTTCTCCATGGCAGCGTCATGCCATTCAGCACCTTCACGTCGTACGGCAGCTCGGCGAGCCGCTTCGGTTTCTAGCCGTTTCTCCAGTTCAGCTGCTGCCTAAAGTGTTCACCTTGCGCACTGATTCATCTTGTTGACTCACAGTTTAGTCACGAAAAGCGTCTGATTAGCAGTTTCTCGTCCATAAAAACGGAATGCGTTTACACGAACGTCCAAACAATCGATAAACCATTCATGCATCAAACAAAGACCAACCTTTTCGCATGCTGTTTTCACAATGAAGTTCGTTGTGAGTTCGATGTTATCTTGTGTGATTACTCTCGCCGCTTCTTCAATCATCTTCGACTGAAAAAAGTTTTATCAAAAAAAAAAAGATCACTGGTCATAAAACAGACAAAAATCGATAACCAGTGCTCACTGCGCTTTTAGTAAGAAAACGAAATTAGAATTGGAAAAAGAAAACAATATTAAATTCGACATCCAGTAAAAAAGCGTTACGGCTGAGTTTGGTAGAACGGAGAAAAAAACGTGGCTCGATTTATTTAAGCAAACTGCGATACAATTTTCTCAGCTCAACTATGAACTTAGCAATTCCGAAAAACAAACATAATAGAAAGAGCTTTTATGAGAGCTTTCATGGATGCAAGTTTCCTCATACAGTTTGAGAAAAAACACAGTCTACAGAAACATTTCCTCAAGAAAAACATAGTATAAACTCATACTAACCAGTTCAGTATTCGAAGTCCGCAATGAGTTCGTAAACGATTGCTGTAGCAATGATATCATCGTTCCGGCAAGCGGATCACGACATGTGATCATCGCCATTCCGGCAGTCATTGCTCGCATCTAAAATTTAGTGTTACGTATTTTGCAAGAACATTTTTAGCAGTTTTGATAGATACAATAGATTACTGAAAATTACCATGTGATAGGCCGCCTTTTTCATGTTATCTTCATTGGGATCAAGGGCGAAATCCTTGCGTACAAGTGTTTCCGTAACGATCATGGCTATTTTTAGAGCTCTTTCAGCAACAGGACCTAAACATAAAGAGTTGGGGCTCGAGCATGTAGCCATATATAGAAGATTCCTACCAATGAGCTCCTTGATAGCTTGCGTCAATGCCGGACGGACATGATGTTTCATATGCGGATGAAGCTAAAAATGCAAATTATTAGCTCTTCCTAGTTGCCCGAAACATTCCCATTCTCACCTGGAATAATGGCAGCGAGAGCTGGACCTTGATATGAGGGATAAGGCCTTCATAGGATGTCACATTAATGTCATGGTAGGCAAAGTGAAGCGGCGGCACTATGACCGCACTAGCGCTTCCTTCGACAATCGCTGACGATCCCTCAGATTCCGGATTCGGTGTCGATGGCTGTAATTGATCACATAAACATATTCAAATACCAGCTATAGAAAGCAGAAGTTGTGAAGGGATGCTTATAATAAAAATCGATAAACAGCAGTATTTTCTCGTATCGAATTCCAAACATTATCACTCTATGAGTCACAATGTAGCGAAGATCCTATAAACCAAGAAGAGAACGCGCTCGAAACCAGCCAAGACACAAAAAAAAATAGGAACTCGCTAATGGCAAAACGTCAGAGGAAGGACAAGAAAGAATTAGCAATTATAACATATATTATGCCAATCTTTCAAGACCGGAGAACCCATTAGTCATTTCAGTGAAGAATCTGTCCAATAAAGTCAAGAATTCCCTATGAGTTTTCTGTAAATTTACAAGACTTGTGAGCCCAGCATGGGCCCAGCAAGAGTAGAGAAGTCCTAAGAAATTGGTGAAAAACAAATTTATGAGAATAGTAGTTCTGAAAAGAATAAATGCCCATAGAAAGATAGAAAACAAGGGAACTGACTAGAAAAAATGTGCGGGGACCAGTTCTCGCTACTATATACAAGGCTTTCCTATGCGCGAAAACTTTTTTTAATGACTTTGAATTTTCCTAGTATGGTGGCAAAATCTATTACTAGCAATCATATTCGAGTTTATCTTGATAGAAGTGCTGGCAGCCACGTCAGCAGCACTTCGCCAGCAGCCGTAAATCGCCAACACATAAGCGAAAAATCAATAGCTGATCTGCAATGAGTGAAAAGAGTGACCGATGACGGACGAACCTTGGTATCCACACCAGGCATCGCGGGCACCGAATCCGGTGCAACCCGCATTTGTCCGGGCACAGGGCTGCTATTCGCTTGATCTGGTTGTTGCAACGTCTTGAGGTCTGATAGCTGTTGTGTGACCCTCACCAGACGGTCTGTATCTTTAAGAATGCCCTCGACGGGCAGCGACTCCAAATCCACCGACAGTTCCTTGCAGAGCACCTATAATGAATACGTATGAGGACGTATATGTTTACTTTCGTTGTTCCGTCGTGTTTTTTACTGCTCCAACACGTGAATCGAAACGTTGGAAAATTGGGCAACTGTGGCGAAGAGCGAATTAATCGATAACTGTCCGACTCGCCTCTCACCTCTATCTCGAACTTCAAGTTGATCCTCAAATCGGGTTCGTTGTGCAGTTCGGCTAACACTTTCAGTATGGATCGTATCCAAGCGCATGTTGCACTGAACAGCTGAAATAAAGACGCTTGAATGCACCGAACTAAACAAGAAAACTGGTAAAGTCGTACTGAGAATAAAGATGGCATCAACGTTAAAGCAAGGCAACTATGCAGACAAAGCTCTCTGAACTAAACTGCAAGAATGGTAAATTGCGTCGCTCCAACTTAAAACCTCAAAAAAGAGGCAGAGGTCATCTTCAACTATCTTCAACTGAGGTACTATTTTTAATTCAAATATTTGCATTTACCTATTTGCGCACATTGGCCAGCTCTGCCGTACGTGAATTACAGAATAAAGTTTACAGTTACAAATCATAAAAGCAAAAATTAACAACTCCAAACCGAATTTGCAAATGCTAACGCGGAACCAGTTCTAGCGCCTATGACTCATTCGCCGAGTCCAACGGCTTCGCATCAATTCGAAGAATCAATAGTGCTTGGAAAGACAGAAATGATGCACAGCGGAAGGGAAGAACTAACATACAAAACATTTATAAAATGAAGCAAGCGCTACTTCTTATGAACTTCGTTAATGTGAGCGCAAGAAAAAGCTAGCTTTATTATTAGAAATAGTATCAATTAAAAATAAACTACTATAGCACATAGGTTATACAAGAGAGACAGATCCAAGCAGATACAAAAAAAAAATCGACGAACTTGTGTTTTGCAGCATGAAAACAGGATCTTTGCGATGAATGGTACGACAAACAGCAGTTCTTGCTGGCCTTTGTAATATGCTTCCATAAGCAAAGCTTTCAAGTCGAGTTCCTAAACCAAAAAAAAAACCATATGGCCCACAATAAGTATAACTGAATTTTGCTCAAAAATCGGTAAACTTACACTGATAAGGATCGGCTTATTTCGGGCTATCGTGATAGATCCTAGCCACATGCCGAGGTTTTTAAGAAGTTGTCGATCACTGTAGTTGGAAGCAGCTTGCCGTTTATCCGATCGCAGCAAAATCTAGAAACCAAAATCACTAATCTAGTCACAAAATGAAAACGCTTCAATTCTCTTACCCTAATATTCCTGAACGTTTCTCTCTTGATATGTATATCCAACAATGGATGATTTATAGCTTGAACAAATTGGTTGTAGAGAGGCAGGAAATTCTGTTCTATTGAAACCCGCTTCATCACTATGTACTGCGCAAACCATCGGATAAATGGTTCGCCATTTTCCTCTATCAATGCTAGTATCTGCAAGACATATATTAAATAGATTTTATAAATAAAAAAGAATCAGGAGGCCTTTTGCCCTTTTACAGTATATTACAGTAAGTGTATGGTGTAAAATGGAAGTGCGTATTTACTTTGGTGTATTCCAAGCGATGCAACTCAAAGTCAGTTGCTAAGAATAGTCTATCTATTCTGATAAAAGCCGTAGTTTAAGTTGATGATGGTATTCTTAAGTTTCAAAGAGCCGGATATCATGGTAGCATACAGTAATGAGTGTAAAAGGGCCTACAGCTCAGCGCGTCTTCAAATCTCAGAACCCTACCTCGTCCTTTTTGGTATTCATATTACTCTGGGATAGGTTGTTGAACAAAAACAACACTTTGTCGACTACAGCTGTTTCCGGTTGTGCAACTTCTGCTCCTTCCTTTTCAGTGGCAGAGACAAGGGTGTCTACGTTCGTATATGACAACACAGAATTTCCCTGTAATTCAGCATTTTAGCGAGATTCGCGGATAAAAATCATCAGCTGCATAAATCCGCCTGCACCACCTCAAGAGCGCTGCAGTGGTCAAGAAAAGGCTTATACTATTACAAAATTCACAGAATTCGTCAGATGACTTGTAAAAATAGTCCCAAAAACTCCCAAAAAAGCGTCGCTTTTGATTAACAACTTGCTTAAACACAAGCTTTCACGAAGATCAAGATATCATGTTGTAGGCCTGACTTCAGCTTCGATTTGCCGTAGAGAATAGATCATCAATCTCTTTCATTAATGTAGAATCACAAGAAAAACCTACGGGAGTTTGCGCGAATACAAGCATCAAATAAAAAAAAACTTACAGTTCGATTAGTGCTCCCAACGCTAGTGCTGCTCGTTGTTGCCTGAAGTGTAAACTTACATCATAAGCAATTAGATAAGATCAATGTTACCTTAGCACTCTCTGTACTTGACGATCTTTGTGTGGGTGTCCAGCTAAGTGGTGGAGTGGATCGCCCAGTAGTGTCCATCGGTGGCATTGCGATATTTTGTACTGGAAGTTCACCTTTCAAGCCAGCCAAAACATATTCCTTCAGCCCTGGTGGAAACTTTGAGAAATTCTCATGTTGCGCGATCATGGAGCACACCTAAAACCAAATAAAATTATTGAGATCCGCTAGAATCCTTATAATTTCCAATACCTTCGGATAAGAGCACAGCTTAGATCTGCAAGCTGTTAATGAGACTATTCCAAAAGTCCACAACATGCTTCCCACTTCAGACTGCAGCGATTCGATGACTTTTCGCACAGCCGTTGCAAAATGCAGATTGCTACAACCATTCACTCACTTTACATCTCGACATCAACTTTTATGTGCTTACCTAATTATTCCTTCCCTAATAATTCCTCCATAGATCTCTGCCGTTGTTCTAAGTTCTCTTTCTGGATATTCGTGGAAAAATCGATACTCTTCAAACAGATTCTTGACGACGCATGCCAGAACCTAAACAAGAACCTCATTTAAAACTAATCGAATTTTGTGACAATCTCACCTTCTGATCTCTCGGATTTTGTGACATTTTCAATCCTTTCAGGCGCATTATTAGATCTCCAACCATAGATGACTGATTATAGATCTGGAACAAAATTCAATTCAAACACAGAAATACAGTGCGAAACGCTCTTACCTGTTCAAAATACATATTAGCTTCGTCTTGCACATCTTTTGGAAAGTTCATATCATCGATGACTACTGGACCAGCACCTAGGGGCATTGGAGCAGAACGCAGATCAACCTAAATGAATTTTGACCATTTGGTGAATAAAGTCGTCTGATGTTAGCAGTACCTGTGATGATGTGGGTGGTGGTTGGGGCTGGAAGTCCATTTGTTGCGATGGTGTTGGAGGGCCTCGAGGTTGTCCTGGTGGTCCTCCCATCTGCCATCCAACTCCACTTGCTGAGTTCTACAATGAAACAAAAAGAATTATAGAGCTCAGATAAAAACGCGTGTAATTCGAACCATGGAAGTAAAATTCACCTGTCGTTGAGGAGCTGGAGGCATACCCGATCTCATCATCTGTGATGATGGTGACATAGCCATAGGTTGTCCACCGAAAGGTTGAGCTGGATGTGCCGACTAAATAGGCCAATGATATGTAACCTAGTCAACCTATTCTACTCATTTCAGACCACATGTCTGCAACAAACAAAACTTCTCAGGAACTTACCCTCAACAAATCCTGACTTCCACCAAATGCATTGCTGCCGAACATAGAACCTAGTCCTACTGGATTCGATACAGGCTGTTGGGGGCCAGCCTTAAAGGAATTCGATGGAAACTGCAAGACAAACTATGAACATACTTGAGAAGTCTCGGTTTGTAATCTTTTACCTAATTTTGACCACTTGAAGCATCAAGATGAAAAATCTACTAAATTCTATTCACTATCCGCAGGACTCATTGAAGCATGGTGCGTAGCCTACTACTGTCATCTCAACGCAGGAGTGCGCCAGAACAGCAACAACTCAGGTTAATCATCCAAATCGAGTGACAACAGATATGCCTGCCCAAGCAACACAGATTACGAACATGAGCGTATGCTCCAGGCTTCTTGGGTAAGCGCTTAATTCATCTTATTATTTCCGTCAAATGCACTCATTGAAAGTAATTTCCGCGGCGACGACTTCATTCAACTAGCGAAAGATGACTCAGCAGTAACTACTGAAGCCTATTTCAAAACCAACTCTTCAGCTGCAATATTAGGATACAAAAAGGTTCGCTGAGCTGAATATATTGCTACAATTTCATAATGGTTGCAGTAAAATAAGTGTAAAACCTGTGATTCCGTAATTTTTTTCACGGTTTCTGAACTTATCTTGAACAGATTAGTCCAAATTTAGCTCAGCAAGAAGCTGCTTGCGCATGTTTCATAGCACTGCAAGAAATTTTCTCAAACAAATTCTCAGCATTTTAGCGCACTCAGAGTAGTTTAGAGCTCGCAGTCAATCCCATTTCTGCACTGCTATGACAACATGTGCAAGCAGAATTTCGCAGGATAGCTGTTCATTTGATGGACAAAAGAAAAACTTGAGACATTCTCAAATCTTCAATCAATGCGCATTCGCAACGCTTTCGAAATGTGAAGAAGAAAAATTGAGAGCCAAGTGTGGGTCAGCATTTCGCATCGAGCATCAGCTGATACTCTGTGCTCTGCATATAATTTCACTGCTGTGCAAATTCACAAATTAAACATTGTGACATGATTGATCACCACGTGCTTTGTGATAAAAAGAAAATTATACTATTTTCTAGAATTTTGTAGAAAAAAAAACATCCTGCTCACAGTAGCCGAGCATGGCAGAGTAGTTAGATGAAAAAAGCTAAGGAAATTAGAGATGATAGAGAAAAAAAGAATGAATGACATATAACAGAGAACACCCCCTCCTATTAGATGAAGTGGTTTACACCAAACTTGATAAGTTACTTCAAATGTCCTCAAAATGACTCACTATGCTTCAAACAATAGTGTAAAGGCCCTAAAACTATCCCAAAAACAACCCAGTGCTCAGATAAAACCCCAAGAAGAAAAAATTCGAAGTGCAGCAACTCAGTAATAAAACATCGATGGTGTGAACGTTATCGTAAAGTGGCATCAAAAAGATGTAATTTCACAGCATTTACTCAATCATTTCCGTCGTACTTTGCACTTCTGCTTGATGAAAGACGCAGGCACTACGTATCAAAGCAGTCTTGTCAGAAGAATAACTCTTGATGCAACCGCTCGCGTCACATGTGGTAATAGTTAGAAGCTTATGTTTGCAAAGAAAAACATGTGAAAGCATTAGAAAGCGCAATACGATAATGTAAAAAGAAAAACAATGTCAATAAGGAAGATGTAACCGGACGCTAGCAAACATTATTGAAGAAAATAGACCAGCTGGCAAACCCGGCTCTGCCCGGCTTTGCAAATAATATTTTCGTAATCAGCCTGCAAACTCCCTCTGCTTCCAGCCACGTAGGTGAGAATTTGCAAATACTCGGTAAAATCGATATCGATCAATGACGAAAAATAGCGTACGACACCCGCTCCGTCCCGAATTGTATGTGTGCCAAGTTTGGTCCGGATCAGTACGGACCAAACTTGGCACACCTACAGTTCGGAATGTACGATGTAGGAACAAACGTACGGAATATCATAATTACCCAACAACTGTTCTCATACCCATTTTTTTTACTTCAAACTCCCTACACTTCATCGCCAAAGGTTTTTCGAACGAGGATGCGAATTATTTTGTGGTCATTTACAACGCCCGCTCCAATAATATTGTTCCCAACTTCCCGCCCAAGTCCAGGAACGCTAGCGAAAAAATCAAAGCCCCCCGGTTCAATGTAATATAAATAATGGTGATGTCTGCGCGGCAAGGTCAACCATCAAATTGAAAACAAAAACCTTTGTGTCACGCACTATTTCTGCGCGAAAGTAGGACACATCAACTCACCTGCATTGCCAGTAGATTATGTGGCGGTGGTGGAGCACCAGCACCATTTGGCGGAAACGGTTGTGGTGGTGGTGGCATCGATTGTGGCGGAGGGCCACCAGCTCCGGGTGGCCGTCCGGGGAATCGGGCATCCATGCCGAATCCGCCAACAATCGGCGATCGTCCTGTTGACGACACCGATGAGCTTCGTGCTGAGGATTCCCTCATCTAAAACACAAAAACTCGATTTTGCACGAAAACGATTATCTTTCCAACTTTTAAAAGATACAACAACATAGAAAAATTTTTCTCCAATGATGCAACAGTGAGAAATTTTCTAACTTCCTCAATATGGAGATAGCAGTAACGAAAAAAGTTCGTGACTATTGATGCAAACTCTAGAAAGCTGCTCCAATCTAAATCTTAGTTTCATTTGAGCTTGAGCTTACGAAAAGCAGATGCGCGGACATGCGTCTATGGTACATTCGAAGTCTGAGACAGAAATGAGATTGAAAATCTTACTCTACAGTCACGTACTGTCTACAGTCCATTGAAACAATCATCACCAATCCATCACACACACAAACTTCATTTGCAACAAAAACTACCAAAAACTATACTTCAGTGAATCGTTCATCAACAACTGTTCCTCCAATCTATGTGCAAGTGACAAAAATCGTGATCGCCCTCTTCGATTTACTCGTCCCCCTTACCAAACTACACACTTCAAAATTTTTACGCAATGTGCCTCCTAGAGCGAAAAGTTGAGAATATGTTTGAGATTAGTCATTTGGAGATGAGCCGTGCTGCATAATGGCTCATATCTGTCTTTCTTATGCTTGTTCATTACAGCTGCTCTGCTCGTCAATCTCGTTTTATGGCATTTCTAGCATCTAATCAGGCTGTGCTTGCATTTTGATACCGAGATGTCGAAATAAAGAGGAAATGTGAAACGTCTGAAGCAAGGATATGATTCAATTCACATGCCCGCTCTGCATTTGTTCATAATAATTGATACTTTAATCCAGCAAGGATGAATCCAAGATCGGATCAAACCAAGTCGTATGTAACACTCCTCTATGCGAAGGCATTCGCCTTAGGTTACACAAAGCTACTGATGAAAATATACTACAGACAGATCTTATGACTTCATAATGCACACATAGTCATTTATATTCGCGCATGCGTCTGAAAGCAATCAAAAAGCAATTTTTGAAACCAGTATTGTAAAAGCTCAAGCACCTTTGCTCTACAGAGAAAAACACTACCAAAAACCTAAGTTCGACTTCAGACTGATCCTAACATTCATCGGAAAAGAATATTAAATCAATAGTTCTACCTGACGGACGTAACATTCCAACAATCTGTTCGACTGATCTACTTTGCTGTGATGGACAAAATAAAAAACTGGGACTGATATACTCAATCACATCTCAACAGAAAGTAACGCAATTAAACTGGTTCTTTGTCATCGTCACGTCCAATGTAATAAACGTTCTGACAAACCAGCTGTGCCAAAAAAGCTATAATAAAAACCCTGTGGATTAGATTTTTTATGATCTCAAAAAACTCTACTAGTATTAAACATAGACAGCAAACATAGCGATGACAAGTCAGAGTATACGGCGGCTTTATGGTAAGAATCAAAGCAGTTATGAAAGAAAAATAAGAAAAAAATAAACATCCCTCACATCCAAGAGCTCAAAACGAATTTAAAATGCATGTTGTAAGCAAGGAAAACATAATATGTAAATGAAATCTCTATTTTGACCAAGAATAACAAAGTGCCAACTCACCACTAAGCCAAAATTTTCCGTACTTTAACTAAATCGACAGTGCTAGTGTAGAATAGTACCGTGAAGACCCTTGAGTAGCCGTTCACATCGATTACACAACACTGACGTCTTCTAGAAACTCCCACTATATGTACAGGGATTGTGAAAGCGAAGATTTGCCTGGGCAGCGAAGGATATTGGAAAGCAGTGCACGCGGCGCAGGCGACCGAACTCGCCGCGAGCGGCGCGGCTGGCACATTTCCGATTGGCGAGAGGCCAGATTTTTTGCCATAGAGCGCGTAACGCTGAACACGTGATTGACTTTCAATGGCTGAACAATGAACGTTTTCGATGGCACGTTTGCTCAAACTACGGCGGGGCAGGTGGCAGGATGACAACAAGTAGTGCAGAGCACTTTTGAGGGTGCTAAATGCTCGTTTAGCGGCTAAAAAAGTGTTTCGAAAGCAGTGTGACATTTGTTCCACGATATAGTGCAGGGAGATAGCCCTCAGTGTAGTCCAAAATGTGAAGCCGTCGATACTGACGAGTCCACAAGAAAAATATATGCATAGGGCATTTGGAAAATTGTGACGATGGTGCGATCGGCGCAACATGCACGCACCTTTCGCCAACCGCATTTTCTTGGTTTTAATCTCTACTCGAATGGTTTTTCTGCTTTGGTATGATAGTACTTGGGCACTGGAAGTGACTGAGTGAAGGAGGGGAAGGATACCAACATAAGTTGGCGGTTAAAGACGGGATGTAAGTCACTAGACGCGTCTCTAAACACTGATTCCGAATCTGCTTTCCTTTTTCGCGGAGCATTTTTCCAGAAGAAGTCATGAGCGTTTTAATCACATTTGTCAAGCTTTATGCGGCCTAAGATTAGCGAAAAGTTGTACAAATACTCTGAGAGTGGGTAATTAGGTTTGTATCAAACCTACAGTCTGCAAAAAAGGAATAAAGGCCAGTGGATATTTGCATAGATGCTGTGCTTTTCGCTAATTTCAAGCCACCTAGCTTCACAAATTTGGACATTCAAACGCTTTCAAAGTCTTTTGGAGAGGTGTTCCGCAAAAAAGGAAAGCAGATTGGAATTAGCGTTTAGAAACGCTCTCGTGACATACATCACGTCTTCAATCGCCAACTTATGTTGATGTCCTTCTCTCAGTTTGACTTCTGACGTTTCAATTCAGGTGCATGAATTCGCAGACGCGTGTATGTAATTGCATAAGTCGCGAGAAAATTTCCACGATACGCATGCCAAACATACTCAGCTTCTAACGACTTGATCTCCCTGCGCCCTTCTTGCCATGTTAAAAAAAAAAAATCCTGCTTTATTTCTGTCAAGCAAAACACGGATGAGATATTGGGATGGAAAGACGGAAAAGATGAGGAAAGCGTGGTGAATGCCAGTCTCCATAAACATTTTCGTATGTGTGAAACCGGCTAGTACTTCCTTGACTTGAGCATTCGGCTGAGCTTATAGTAAAGTGAAAGACAGTCAGGTAGATTTTCCACACTTATCGGTTCAACCAATTCATCCGGCTCACCACATTCACTGATCAATCCATTGATTAGACCTATGCTAATGCGTGAACTGGACGAACCGATTGAACCCGATGAAGGCAGTGTCCCGGCAAAATCTCGCTCTCCAGTTTTGCACCTTTTTGAAGCTTTTTCGCCATGTTGAGGGCTTTTCAGCGGTAAAAATGGCAGAAAAGCTTTTTTGAAAGCTTTCCGTGTCCACGTTCGCTTCAAAATACATGAGTGGGCGAGGTCGGGACGAGGTAGGCGGTCCTTCCAAAGCGGATTTGGGCTTCTGGGAAGGATTTAGGGCAGGGCTCAGCACAGCTGGCACCGGGTCAAGCTGGATATCGTTTTTAGCGCGGAAATCAAAGGGGATATCGCGTTTCTACAGGGGCCGAGGCGGAGAACTGCCGCAAAAATGCCGCCGGCATGCCACCGACATGCCATTGGCAAGCTGTCCATCAACAAACAAAGGCGTTGTTTTCAGCCAAAACGCAATAGTATGACACCAAATTTGGTGTGTGCATTATAGTTAGCACCGAATATTCGTGTTCGAATAATTTATTCGAAATATTCGACTATTCGAATATTCGAATAGTCGAATATTTGAGAATGTCCATTTATTCGATTATTCGAATAGTCGAATAAATGAAAAAGACCTATATTCGAATAATTCGTTCATTCGACGATTTCGAGAAATGACTTATTCGAATATTCGTTCATTCGAGGAGTTTTAAAAAAAGGTTATTCGAATATTCGTTCATTCGAGTAGTTTTAAAGATAGTTATTCGAATATTCGAATATTCGAATATTGCATTCAAATATTCGAATAATATTCGAATATTTATTCGAAATTAGTCGAATATTCGATCAAGTTCGGTTATTCAAGTATTCGTTCATTCGAATTCTGGAATGTGCCAATATTCGAATATTCAAATTCGAATAAAATGAAAAACGAAATTCGAATAATATTCGTTCGTTCGAAGAATTTTCGAAAATCAAGTATTCGATATTCATTCGTTCGAAAAATTTTCGAAGATCAATTATTCGCTATTCATTCATTCGAAAAAATTTCAAAAAATGATTATTCGATATTCGTTCATTCGGCGAAAATTTCTGTTCGTTACAACTATAGTGTGCATGCGCGTTGGTGGACCGGAACTACGGGCCAAAAATTTATGAAAACTTAGATGAATGAAAGCTGTGCCCAACTTTTTTCTGAATTAGCTGGCACCGTGCCAGCTGGGTGCCAGCTGAGCTGGCACCGACACTTTGCTCACATAAGTTTTCATACTTTTTTACATAAAATGTATGTACACTGTAAAAGATTACATACGGAGAAGAAACAGTTTCATAATGTTCTCTTTTCAGCGTTTTATAGCAATTTGAAAACCACTCGGTCCGCTCCGCCGTCGAAAAATCGGCTTTTTCTGCTTCTCAAGATGTGATTCGACAACTTAAAAAGCTCAGAAAGCTATGAAAAGTTCTTTCATGAAATCAGAAATGCATGAAAACACTACTACATTTTTTTACATAATATAAAAATGATGACGGGTTTTCAAAACGGGTCAAAAGGGATTTCGTACAAAATTTTCAATATCAAACGGGACTTCGTTTTGAAATTTCCCTGGTGCCAGCTCGTGCCGAGCCCTGATTTAGGGCTTTCTGCACGCGTTCTTTCGTTCCAAACTTCACTGATAGATTAATTGGAGGGGAAGAAGTCCGCCATTACAACACTGTAGAATCGCGGTACCCATCATTCTGCCGGGACGCTGCCTATGAGTCTGGCACCTGCCTCACCTTCTGAACGTCCTGAGACGTCTGCATGTCGCCATTTTTTGGGTTAGCTTGAGAGCAAATGAATGAATGGACGAACGCGCAGTCAAAAACCTTTTTCGTCTATTTCTAACTCAATATTTACGAATGTTTATCTCCAACAGAGATTCGAAAGAGGAATGAATGGCACCCATTGAATGAAAGTGCAAACCAAAGGTCGTAAATACGCTCTGAAATCCAAATCCACGGTACCCAAATCACGATGACGCGTGGAAAATGCGGTAAAAACATGAGATAATGTTTAAGCTGTGAATTTAGTGATTGTAACAACAACGCTAACGTTGAGCTTCAGCCGTGCCGTGTGATGCAGAGCTACAAATCGAAATGCATCCAAGAGCAAGTGATCCCATTTCAAAAACGGTGCAAAGCTTTTCCTCAGGTAATAAATGAACTAATCGCCATCAATTTCAAAAAAAGGTTCTGGGAAAAACTTTGATTTTCCCTGCGCTCACTACAACTGGTACGGTATGATGAGGTCGCACGATGTGTAGAAGGTGTTCGGTATTTCCATCGCCAACCCCCCCCCCTCTCCCAAATAATTAGATTTGGACCTTTTCCCTCTCATCCACAGCGGATTCCTGGCCATGCTCGTGTGAAACTCCTCAGTGACGGATATCACAGAGCGCCCTCACTTCATCTTAAACAGAAACAAAAATGTACTCTCTAATTCCCTCCCATCTCTCCTGAACTCAAGAGGGCGAGTGCACTTCGCTGACAAGGCCGTGCAGTTACAATAAAGAGAGCACGAAGAGTGCACACATCCGTCTGGAGAATGCGCATACTTATGCACGGGAAAAGCCACTGACTGAATTCTTCGCCTGCCCAGGGAAGCCACTGGTTCATATCTAGCAATTTGCTTCTATCCGGGAACAGTTTCCCGTCTTTGCCTGTATATCGTCTTTATCGCTCTTCGGACGACAAGTCTGCAGCAAAATCTCTCGCTCACTAGTGCGTACGAGATTCAATCTCAAAGCATAATGAAATGGCCCATGAACTCATCAAAGATGGTTTAATTCAAATACAGCTCCAATGCACCTTCCTCATCTACAAATTTCACATACTGTTCTTTCTGATTCACCGCTCTTTACTGTATAGTAGCAATGTGAACTAACGCAGGGTCAGTCCGATTTGCACATCAAAGTTAGAAAGCCTTTTATCTACCAAGAGAGGACAGTTCCAAGAAACCACCTTCCCCGGTGAGACGTAAGTTCTCTTGAAGATCAGAATACGCCTGATTAGAAATCCGTCTTTGCTATTTGTGAAAACGTTTGTGAACGGGAATACGCTTTACTTTATGCAAAAATCTCAACTGCCAGATAAAAATACTGTAAATTATTCGGACGGTGAATCTAGCGTTCTGGCGGAACAAGAAGAGTGTCATAACACTTCATGCTACTGTATTTTGTTAGCAACTCTGTTATAGCAAGATTGTGCACAGTCGAGTAGATTTTCCACTTGATATAGTGTGCTTGCACTGGAAATGCGGTAAAATTTGCGGGTAAAGAAATAGCTACGCCTGTGACGCTGGCCATACACGCGCGCAAAATGTTGGCATTACTGACGTGGCTACTTGTTCACGCGCAAATTTTACCAACTTCAGTGCAAGCACACTATATAAGGCGGAAAATCTACTCAACTGTATAGCGCAATCGTTGACCGCACGGACTGGACACCACTACGGAGCACGCGCCGCAAGGTAAAACGCTTGCCCCAGTACAAATTCGCCATTGTACAAATCGTGTTCTCGCAACATTTTAGCCGCGCCGCGCGTGGTCTGCAGCGTTGAAACAGTCCGTGCAGTCAACGAATCAACGATAATCTCGTCTAAAAGACCCCTTTTCAAGTTTTTCTTGGCATTACAATTTGTGAAGTTGGCTGTTATGTCATTCGCCATCAAACAGTCCTTACATCCTTAGATTTAGCGACATGCTTATGGGACTCTATTTCAGCAGTAAACTTGCAATAAGCTATAAGATAATGGAAGTAGTTCTGACTGATCTAGATATCAGGCAAGGCAAATTCTAACAAAGTACCAAGACTTTGATAAGCGTCGAATACATTTTCCCGTCAGATTCTCATGAAAGTGCATACTACAATGAAGTGAGCAGGATAAGTCCACGCTTAATATGGCACGTTCCTTCGTGCATTTCAACATTCTGTATTGCGTGAATCAGAGACGTCCAGAGTCATAAAAAGCTTCCAGAAAATAAGGAAGTAAAGAAGCAGTATACTCGATGGAAACCTTTCAGAATGGGAAGACAGAGTGGAAAAGAAGAATTAAGTCTTGAAAAATTTTGTCTGTTAATCAACTTTATTCCAATAATCTATATATAGTCCTGCGTAAAAGATGTACAACCCAAAATTTCCAACACATACATACTGCGGTAGCGAGGAAGCCCACGCAAGAAGTAATAAATTCTCATGCTAGACTGCATGCTGACAAGCGAATGACGCATACGCGCCCACTTAACGTACGATTTATTGCATACTATACGTAAATTTCCTCATAGTTGTCATAGCAATCAGAAGCACTTTTTAAAAAGGAATTAAAAAAATGTTTTAATGTCCCAAAAATTGTAGTAACATTAGTAGAAACGATACTTCCGCATGCACTAACCTGCTGTTGCTGAAGTTCTTTGATTTTCTCCGTCAGAGCCAAGTACTTTTGCTTTAGCAGTGGCGATAACTTGGCCAGATGTGTCCTGAGAAAAGTCATCATGATCGAAAATGTCTCTGCCGATAGCGATTGACTAGAGGCTGGCGTAAATAGTCGTCTTTGGAGTTGGTTGATCACATTATCAACAAGAGGATCCTAGAAAAAATATTCAATCAAAGGTGTTCGAGACCACGATTAGATGCACTTACTCCCAACTCCAAGAACTTATCCTCCAACCATTTATCCAGTTTCAAATAATCCCGTTTTGATGCAAGTAAACCCATTTCGAGAATAAACGGCACATGGGGGCAGCTGAACAGCTCCGCCAAACCACCCGGCTTCAACTCGTTTGCGATCTGTAGGGAGAATGATTAACATTCAGAGAACCAAGAGTAGCATAAAAGAGCTCACATCTAGAATTCTGGCTAATCTCTGTTGGTCATCTGGTGCTTTTGCATGAAAAGCTAGGAAGGCATTGATAATCATATTGTGCACCGTTGTTCGTGGCAGAACCTAAATTCAAGGATTCAACAAACTGGTACTTTATTATAAGCGCTAGTTCTAATATCAATGGGCAGCTGCTCTCTTGAAGGCATCGCCCCAAATGAGGATGATAAGATTCTATCTATGCCGTAAAATAGCGGGGCCCCTAACTAACAAGGGAAGCATGTTTGGTCGAAGTGGCCTTTTCAGATGAGACCCGTACTGCTTTGAAGAGTATTGCACGGTGAATTCAAATCTGCCTTCCAATTTTGCCAAGGCCTCTGGACGCCGAGTTATGACCGTTTTTCGGAAGGAAAAATGAATGCAGAATTTAGGCAAAATTGATTGTTACAATGTTTCCAGCGCTCAGATAAAGCAATGTTAAATATTAGCATAATCCATTGGATAAATGGCTCTGATACTTGACACTATACCATTTGAGCAAATCTGGGCGATTTTGCTTCAGTTTTGCGTTCAATTTTTTGACCTGAAACGACCATAACTTGGCATCCAGGGCCACTTGGCAGACTAAGAAAGCAGATTTGAAATCAACGCTTAATGCTCTTCAAAGCAGTATGGGTCTCATCTGGAAAGGCCACTTCGACTAGGCACACTTCCCTTGTAAGCAATTAGCCAACGCTGCAGAAGATAAATTTCGAAGCAAGAAAACAGCTTCAGAGTATAGAAGCGGCGAAGATGGCTCCGCTCAATGTTGGTATTTTGAAGATTAAAAGCCCCAAACTGGTGGGCCTTCAACATAGTACAGAATTGTCACACATCCGCTCTTCATTATAATTATCAGATTTCTGACGTCTTCTAATACCCCTAGGACCATTTGGACAAGCTTTTTTAGACCACCAACGTTGATGGGCTGAGCCGCCTTCGATGCTCCTACCTTCTGAAGCAGTTTTCTCGCCTTGGAATTCAGCTTTTACGGTAGAACTTGGGCGATTGCTTGGTTAGAGACCCCGCAATCATATGGCATCAAAGTCTCATCATTCTCGATCTGGGCGGACAATGTCTCTAACCACTCTTACCCAATCAAGTCATGATGCTTTACAAAACAAACTGAAGAAAGCAATGTTGTGTATATGGTCGTCTCCACGATTCGTGTAGAGGTGTATTGCAGACTTTGCTTGATAACACAGGTAAACTTGTTAAACCTCCACGTCATAGCATTGTTTTTCGTACTCTCTCGCTATCAAAAACCGCCACGCTTTGAGTTGGCAAAACCCCGCCTCTACACGAATCGTGGAGCCGATGATAAAAGTTTTAGTATCGCATTCACATATCTCACCTCACTGTTCCATATTGCATTGAGCACGGATACAGCATTTGTATGGTGATGTATAAAAACCGGCAGTATCATCTCGATGAATTTTTGACGGAGATCCGTGACGGGTGGCTAAGATTGATTATGCTCATATAAAATTCCAAATACCTGGTTATTTTGCCACCAACCGGTATTTGGAACAATGCAAGCAACACCACATCGGGCCATTTCTCGAGTGCACCATGCAGAAGTCGGATGGCAGCCGTCTGTACATTTTGCTCGCCAGCCATCGTTAATAGTAGCTCTGTCAGCTCAACGCAACACCTAAATGGGGTCGCAATGAATTCAGCTTTTGATTTTCATAGACCAATTTTACCAGGATGCCAACAGTCGGTCACTTTCATCGGGTGTGCTTTTTAGCGTTCCCGTTGGCACAGATCTATGAGGATAATCAGCTATACAAAATACATCTGGATTTTCCAGCATTGACGATATCAGCGACAACTGCGCTTCCCTAGAAAATAACTCGTTATTTTCTGGAAAAGAAAAATGAACTTCATTAATTGCACCTGCATCGCCACTTCGTATAAAGCTTTGCTATTGGAAAAGGTTTATCCCTGAGTCCTGTTTTCAATGCATCAATGAGAGTAATGAGAGATTGTCTGCGTATGACTAGCATTTGTACATCGTCCAGCCGATCGAATACCTCGTACCAATCAAGATTCGGATTCTGATTAGAATAAGTATCAGGGGAAAAGCGGGATCAGAGGGAAGAAACATGAATAATTTGCCATACCATTTCGTTGACGACCGATGCGAAAACTTTGCCATTCCAAGGCGGATCTTCCGCAACATCTAATTCTGATACTCCTGGTCCAGCTCTGAAATGAGAGAGTTCGCATGGTATTCAGAAAACTATTCGATAAACCTTCTTGCTTGTGCAGCAAAAGAGGATGTAAGTCCTCAAATCCGAAAATAACGATGCTAAAGCTGGTATGGACTCTTGCTAAATTTTTTATTTTAAAGTGGCAGAAATATGGCGGCACACCGGCACAACCCCTAATTGAGTGACTGCCCAAGTCAAGCTGCAAAAGTAATGTCCCCATGCGAAAAGATTGATGCAAGGAGTAGATGGAGCAGAGCTCCGCTCGCCATTTTACTGATCTGAAGGTTCGCAGACCGAACTAGGTTCTTTTCTCCTAAACATGTCAAAAATTTTTTATCAAGCACGATTAGAGAGCTCAAACATTTCAGGGTTTTCACCCATTTTCGGACTCGCTGCCTTCAAACAACCCATGATAAAGGGCGGAGCTGCCTCCGTCGCACTGCCTTCAGCAGCAATTTTCACGCTTCAAAATCCACCTTTTGTGAAAGTTGACAGTTATTCAAGGAACCTGCATATCCATAAAAACTCCAACCACAAGCTATGCCATATATATGACTAGCAGTGGCGTACCCAGGATTTCGGCTCGGGGGGGGGGGGGGGCGCGGCAAAAAAATTTTTCAAATGAAGTGCGTGGCGTTAGCCACGCACTCCGAAAAAATTTTAGGGGGGCTTCTCGACAATTTTTCGAGCCCCCAACCCCTAAAATCTGGAAAAAGGGGGCGTGGCGTCAGCCACGCCCCCCAAAAAAATTTTTTTTATAAGGCTAATTTGAATTTTTAAAAAATTTAAAAAATTATTTTAATTGTTTACAAAAATAAACAAGTCATTTGCACATTTTTATAACTCACGTAAGTAACTTTCAAAAATTTCGCGACCCGTTCTCGGGGGGGGGGGGGGCGCGCGCCCCCCCCCGCCCCCCCCCCCCTCGGTACGCCACTGATGACTAGATGGCTTACCCGGCTCCGCCCGGCCCTGTCAATAATATATTTGTAATATTATAGTAAGGATCAGCATGCTCGATTACCCCCCCCCTGTGCCAACTCCCAGCCCTGTAGCTCAAATTTTGCAAAAAGCCGATAAAATCGATATCGATCGATACGAAAAGTAGCCTATGACACGCTCCCCGCCCTGAAGTGTATGTGTGCCAAGTTTGGTCCCGATCGGTTCAGAAATGGAATTTTCTATTCGGAACATACGTACATACATACATACAAACAGACATTCAGCTTTATATATAAAAACTAGCTTGCTTACCCGGCTTCGCCCGGCCATGTCATAACACTATGTCAAAGAACACTATCCCTATTCCTGTACGAACCTTTCCCTGTGCCAACGCCTACATGCCAAATCACTATTCCCGCTGTTTGTAAACAGCATGCTCAATTACCCCCCTGCCAACTCCCAGCCCGTTGCTCAAACTTTGCAAAAAAATCGATAAAATCGATAAAAGTAATCGATGATTCTTAAAACTAAACGCCAAATTTTCGCACACGATCTCTAACGCTTCGAAGTAAACATAAACAATCGGCGTTGAACACACCTTTCAAAGCTAGCATGTCGTTTAGCTTGCATAGATGTTTTTGGTCCACCATCCAAGAATGAGACCAGCGCTAATGCGACAGTAGATGGTGTAAAGCAAGCTGCTGAAACATATACAACGGTTAATGGAAGTTTTAAGTAGGAAAGAGTCTTGACCAACCTTCAGTCATTGTCATCTCATTCAACCGCGCTCGAAATGCCTCTTCCGTAGCTGTACACGATCTGCCTGCTCCTTGTACAACACCGACAAGCAGCATATTGGATGTTTCGAATAGCGCCTTTTTAGCTGCCTACAATCCTCAGCAAATCCTTAGGAATCCTCGTCACAAACAAAAAAGTACCGAATTGTAGGTTCCAGTCGCGCAAAGTTGCTCCACTTGTGTGATGAGTGCCTCGTTATCGACTTCTGACGAGAACTTTGCTGCTTTTGCAATGACTTGACCAAGGTACGAGTTGAAGATATGTTTTTTATCTTCAGCAATGTGCTAAAATTACACAAAAGGATGCCATTACACATGAGAAGGAAAACCAAAGCCTGATTTAGTAATGCAAAGAGTCTCTGGTGTCAGAAACGAAAATGACAAATGATAAAAGAACAGATGTCACTATAAATTACAGATTCCCTACACCAGACACAAAAGCAAAATGATCAATGTAGCAGAGCTACGAGGAATGTGATAGCAAAGACCACTCTTTCCTGATTGAAAACGTCTACCACCTAATCGATATGCATGAACATGCACATTTCCGATTATTTGCTTCTCAGAAACTGCGGTAGAGCCAAGGCGTGAAAAATCACACCTCTATGTAGACATCCCGCATACGGCGATTAGGGGTGACAAACTGCACGATTATTTTGCGAAGCGTTGCCGCAACGCCATACCTAAGGCAATGTGCGAACAGGGCTACAGTCTGTCCCAATCGGGATAAGGCCGAACCGTCGGCTGAATTTGCGCGCTCGCAGCGCTAGAGGTTTGCGCTGCATAGGCACGCGTCATACTTGATCCGCTTAAAGGCAATGGCTCGGCAAATCTTAATCTAGAGAAATTCTCGCTTACCTGGGGTTTTCCAATGCGCTGGTCCCGAAGATCCACTTGAGAGAGCTTAAAAATGGCAAAAACGAGCGTTTTCCAATGCCCTTTGCTTTGAAACTGGACGAGTGCGGCACGGCTGAAGACGCCGAATCGTTACGGGACCCAATGACTATAGCATTGCGGCGGGCAGCCTCCAACGGTGAGAAAAGCGTTGTCATCTCGTCCGAGCGCGTGTACGCGTGTAAGTTTGAGAGCAGTTTTCTCGGCGGTGAAAGCATGTTATGCGACCAGGATTGTACTCTTTTCCTACTCGGGTGATAAGCAACCTAGCGCGTCAAAATCTTGTGTTGCTGAATTTTGCCGATCCACTGCCTTTAATCCGCTTCACTATTGGTTAGTTCGGCGCTATTCCAGTATACCGACCCCAAAAAATTAAAAACCTCGGATTTCGCTCAAACTCGGTATAGGGGGGTTATTCGATCCGCTGATGCCAAATATCATATCGATTCCGTGCGATAGCGCCATTTTCTGGGGGTTACGGTGGGTATACGGTAGGGGGTCAAAATCACGATATTCGCTGAAACTTCGTGTAGGGGGGTTATTCGACATGCTGATCACGATTATGATGTTTATTAGTTACGATAGTGCCTCATTCCGACGTTACGTTGGGTATACATTACCAATACCACCGCTAGATCCAGATTCAGGGCTTGAAATCTCAGTCACACGTCGGAGATTTCCTCTCCCTGCTTTGCTTAGGCAAAAGCCGCCGCAGGGTGTATCACGCGCGGCGGTGGGTGTGGAAAGCAGTGAATTAGACCCTCCTACAGTGTACCCACCGTAACCCCGGAATGAGGTGCTACCGTAACGAGTGGATATCATATTCGTGTTCAGCATGTCAAATAACCCCCCTGCACCAAGTTTCAGAGAATTTTGTGATTTTGACCTCCTACCGTATACCCACCGTAACCCCCGGAAAATGGCGCTATCGCACGGAATTGATATGATATTCGGCATTAGCGGATCGAATAACCCCCCTATACCGAGTTTGAGCGAAATCTGAAATTTTTAATTTTTGGGGTCGGTATACTGGAATAGTACCGTTAGTTCACTGAGCTGACCAATGATGAAGCGGATCAAGCGGATCAAGTGCACCAAGCGGGTCAAGTATGGCGCGTGCCATAGCGCGCTATCACAGAGATTGAGGAGAGAGCAGACTAGTTAGCCGTTGGGGCGACGCAATACTCTCGCGACACGGACTCTCACTATGCCAATTTTGGCCTGCTTGGAATTGGGGTAGACTATATGTCATCGGAAAAAGGGGGGGGGGGGTCTGCGCGAACATCTGCGACAAAGCACCTTCCAGACCTGCATGAGGTGCGTAATTGTTGCTCCGCGACCTCCAATATCGCCCATCCCTAGCTGGTCGTCAACGTTTCGGCATGTGCCACGTCACAGTAAGGACCATGTGGAATTGGAGCCATCGCACAAGTATGAGGCCAGTTGGACAAGGAGCAAGAAATACGGTTTCGGGAAGATGAGAAACTCACGCCCCGATGGAAGAGTAGAACCAGCTTGAGCTTTTCTCTCAGCAGCAATATGCATGCCGCCGCAGTAAAGATCATAGGGTCCTACATGACCCTGCGTTTCAGCCTTGGCGTGAAGTCCAACTCGCCCAGAACCAACTTGTAAGGCTTTCAAAAATGAATGCTTCTGACGCTCTCGCGCACTCTAAGGGACCCGTCATACTTCGCCGAAAAAAGCCCAAAAGCGCCCAAAAAAGCCCAGAAAAGCCCAAAAAGCCCAAAAAAGCGCAAAAAAGCCCGAAAGCGCCAGAAAGAGCCGGAATGTAGAGACGAACTTTTGGTAGAATTCTGACATTATCGTATCATGCGGACGACAGAAAATGACAAAAAGGCTCGATTGCGAAGTCAACACACATGCTTAGCGCCAAAACGTGCGAGAAGTGTTGGGGCTCTTTCTGGCGCTTTTGGGCTTTTTTGGGCTTTTTCGGGCTTTTTTGGGCTTTTTTGGGATTTTTTCGGCGAAGTATGACGGGTCCCTAAGGCTGCGTTCGTACTGATCCGGAGGTTCGGGAACAGTCGAGCGCTGTGCTGAATATTCCCAAACTTTCGAATCAGTATGAACACAGCCCAATGTGGATTTCGAATTTAGCGTAGCGGATAAAACCAGGGGAACTGATTCGCCTGTAATTGGCTTTTGCCCACAGATAGGCGCCAGACTAGCCGAACTGGGTGTAGGGCGTTAGGCGACAAACCCAATTTTTTGTACCCCAAAGAACTCCCCGTGCAAAACGTATCCTCCGCCAAAAACAGGGGGGTGGGGGTCGGGGCCGATACATTACCCGACGCCAATGAAAAAATGGTGCATAGTTTTGAGTTAGGGGATTTACGTTTCTTGCGTTTTGCACGTTTTGTCGCCTAACGCTTGCCCTCCGCCGACGCCGAACTTCGAGGACCGGCCCGCCGCCCGTCACCGTCGGCTCAGTACGCGCCGCAGTCCGCGTCGCACTGAAACTCATTATTGAAGCGCATTTTTGCGCTGGCGTTGCAAATATGCAAAAAGAGTTGGCACCATGCTATTACCCATCACCACCTGTTCATCACTTTGTAATCACCTAGCATAAGCACATCTGCCCGAAAAGGACAAGGTCCATGGCAAATCCATTACCTCATGCCATACACCTTCCAGAACTCCACGAAGAAGCCTCATCATGGAAAAATAAGTATGCTGTTTGTATCTAGCATACCAGATAACCCTCTTAGACCAATCAAAGCCAAATCTGTGGTTTTGACCCCGGCACACAATGCAAGCAAATAAACAAGTTGTCGAAAAAATTTTGTAAATAACGTGTGGGAGAATGCCCATCTATTGTGTTCCAGCGAAAATCATAGCTTTGAAATTGGAGACCTGGATGTTAGAATAGCGCCGATCTCGTAGAGGCGGAATGCTTGCACATTGCTATATAAAACTCCACCATCCATTCAAGATTTGTGCGGGAAAGGAGGCTGCACAACACATGGTCCTACCAGGGAGAATAGACTAAACAGCACAACGACTCTACATTTCCACACCGTTTTACTAGTCATCTTCAGACAATGAGCGTGAATTGTGAAGCCTACAAGTCGTAGATGTTCATCCTTGTTGCGATGTCTGTTGCGAAAATTTCTCGAATTGTATTCCAGCGGATACAGTGAAATTACTGTGACTCTATGAATGCGATACTCTCGTTTAATAGGAACGTAGCGCCTCAAAACCACATTTAGCGACATGTAACTTAGTAGTTTTGGATTGGTATTACTGCCAGAACCCTGCCCCGGACTGAAGCTGATGAACTTATTGACAAATTTGGAATCCCGCTAATGCCATATTTCCCGTGACTGAACAAGCATGTGAGTGGACAGAGTCACTGACTCTAAATTTGCATGCCATACTGGCATCCTATGAGACCGGCCATGTCCTACAATTCCTGCGATTCCTGTGGTTGCTGCGGGTCTCGTAATAGTGTATATTGCGAAAGAACAATGTATAATGAAATTCGCTAGGCGCTCCATAGTGCGGCATATCGGAAGTCGAGGAATCACAAGAATTGCAGGAATTAAGGAGTCGCAAGAATCACCTCCTAGAATAGTATCGCCGATCCCTATCTGTCCAACCTGTCCAGCCGTAAAGCCTTGTCTTCTTGGTGTAACAGAGTGAGCCTAATCCGGACCGCGCAAACAAGTCGTGATCTCAGCAACAGAGATGCATTATTTTGCATTATTTTTATACATGTTCTATCCTCTCTAATATAAGAAGCGGACAATCAAAAATGGAGGAATTTCGTCTGCGTAGGCTCATGCCTATCTTTACTGCGTAGGTCTCTCCTTACTGCCTGCTCACATTTTACTGGCATATTTTAGTGTTTGACCCATAGTTGTGATAGAAACAATTGTTTGGCGTCTACCACCTGCACAAAAGCACACGAGGCAAAGTGATCGATTTGTTTGGCGAAGTGCTCCGCCAAAAGGAGCCATAACGAAATCTACACATTGAAATAACGTTTGAAAAACTCTTTTCGTCCGGTAACTTAGAATAGTTGCGCAAAATTCTCTCATGCTCAATGGAACGAGTATACGGGTGCACGCGTCGCTTTTGAGCCGCGACGCGTACTGAGCCGACGGTGACGGGCGGCGGGCCGGTCCTCCCGAACTTCCTGCTTCAGCAGGACGCGGCGCAGTTATGTCATTTGGTGTCACGTTGGAGGAAATCAAGTCAGGTCCGCAATTTCGGTACAAAAAACAGCTTCTTGATGATAAGGCCTTCTCAGATAATCAAAGCCTTTCAGCGGGCAGCCACAAGGCCACCGCCAAGCCCCACCAAAAGCGCCATGGCCTTATCGCCTCATTGTCGCTTCCCGCTGAGACCGTGTCAGAACTGGCAGCGAGCGA